TCACCCTATCTCTAAGGGAGCGCCCAGCCACTCTGCGGAGGAAGCTCATTTCGACCGCTTGTATCCGCGATCTCGTTCTTTCGGTCATTACCCAAAGCTCATGACCATAGGTGAGGGAGGGAACGAAGATTGACCGGTAAATCGAGAGCTTTGCCTTTCGGCTCAGCTCCTTCTTTACCACAACGGTCCGATACAGCGACCGCATCACTGCGCACGCTGCACCGATCCGCCTGTCCATCTCACGCTCCATTCTTCCCTCACTCGTGAACAAGACCCCGAGATACTTGAACTCCTCCACTTGAGGAAGGACCTCTCCACCCACCTGAAGAGGGCAGGGCACCTTTTTCCGGTCGAGCACCATGGCCTCAGATTTGGAGGTGCTGATTCTCATCCCAGCCGCTTCACACTCGGCTGCAAACCGTCCCAGTGCATGCTGCAGGTCCTGGTTCGTTGGAGCCAACAGGACAACATCGTCCGCAAACAGCAGAGATGAAATCCTGTGGTCCCCGAACCGGACCCCCTCCGACCCCTGGCTGCGCCTAGATATTCTGTCCATAAATACAGTGAACAGAACCGGTGACAAAGGGCAGCCCTGTCGGAGGCCAACATTCACCGGGAACAGGTCTGACTTACTGCCGGCAATGCGAACACAGCTCTGGCTCCGGTCATACAGGGACCGGATGGCCCTCAGCAGAGGACCCCCGACCCCGTACTCCCGGAGAACCCCCCAAAGGACACCCCGGGGAACACAGTCGATTGCCTTCTCCAAATCCACAAAGCACATGTGGACAGGTTGGGCGAACTCCCATGAACCCTCGAGTATCCGATGGAGAGTATAGAGCTGGTCCAGTGTTCCGCGACCGGGACGAAAACCACACTGCTCCTCCTGGATCCGAGATTCGACCATCGGCCGTAGCCTCCTCTCCAGTACCTTGGAGTAGACCTTACCGGGGAGGCTGAGGAGTGTGATCCCACGATAATTGGAACACACCCTCCGGTCCCCCTTCTTGTAGAGAGGGACCACCACCCCGGTCTGCCACTCCATTGGCACCGCCCCCGATCGCCACGCGATGTTGCAGAGACGTGTCAGCCAAGACAGTCCTACAACATCCAGAGACTTTAGATAATCAGGGCGGATCTCATCCACACCCGGAGCCTTGCCACCATGGAGGCTACCAACCACCTTGGTGACCTCAGCCAGGGAGATGGATGTATCCGCCCCAACATCCTCAGCCTCTGCCTCTGAAACAGAGGACGTGACGGGGGGATTGAGGAGAACCTCAAAGTATTCCTTCCACCGCCCGACAATATCCCCAGTCGAGGTCAGCAGCTCTCCACCCGCACCGTACATGGTGTTGGCAAAGAACTGCTTCCCCCTCCTGAGGCGCCGGACGGTTTGCCAGAATTTCTTTGAGGCCGACCGATAGTCATGCTCCATGGACTCTCCGAACTCCTCCCAGTCCCGGGTTTTTGCCTCTGCAACAGCCCGGGCCGCGGCACGCTTGGCCTGCCGGTACTGGACAGCTGCCTCAGGAGTCCCCCGAACCATCATGGCTCGATAGGACTCCTTCTTCAGCCTGACAGCATCCCTTACTGCCGGTGTCCACCACCGGGTTCGGGGGTTGCCGCCGGGACCAGCACCAGAGACCTTGCGACCACAGCTATGAGCCGCCGCATCGGCGATTGAGGCAGAGAACATGGTCCACTCGGACTCCATGTCCCCCTCCTCCACCGGGACCTGGGAGAAACTCTCCCGGAGGTGTGAGTTGAAAGTCCGTCTGACAGGGGGCTCAGCGAGACGTTCCCAGCAGACCCTCACTATACGCTTGGGTCTGCCAGGTCTGACCGGCTTCTTCCCCTGCCAGCGGATCCAACTCACGACCAGGTGATGATCGGTTGACAGCTCCGCCCCTCTCTTTACCCGAGTGTCCGAGACACGCGGTCGAAGGTCAGATGATACGACAACAAAGTCGATCATCGACCTCCGGCCTAGGGTGTCCTGGTGCCACGTGCACTGGTGGACACCCTTGTGCTCGAACATGGTGTTCGTGATGGACAAACTGTGACTGGCACAGAAGTCCAACAACTGAACACCGCTCGGGTTCAGATCAGGGGGGCCGCTCTTCCCGATCACCCCTCTCCAAGTGTCACTGGCGTTTCCCACATGGGCGTTGAAGTCCCCCAGGAGAATAACGGAGTCCCCGGGCGGTGCACCGTCCAGTACCCCTCCCAAGGACTCCAAGAAGGCCGGGTACTCTGCACTGCTGTTAGGCCCGTAGGCCGTCACAACAGTGAGAGACTTATCCCCCACCCGGAGGCGGAGGGACGCGACCCTCTCATTCACCGGGGAGAACTCCAACACGTGGCGGCTGAGATGGGGGGCAATGAGAATGGCCACCCCAGCTCGCCGCCTCTCCCCGCGGGAAACACCAGAAAAGTGGAGCGTCCAACCCCTCTCAAGGAGTTGGGTTCCAGAGCCCAAGCTGTGTGTGGAGGTGAGGCCGACTATCTCTAGTCGGTATCGCTCAACCTCCCCCACGAGCTCGGGCTCCTTCCCCCCCAGTGAGGTGACGTTCCACGTCCCAAGAGCCAGCTGTTGTGTGTGCGGACTGGGTCGTCGAGGTCTCCGCCTTCGACTGCTGCCCAGTCCTCTCTGCACCGTTTCGCCACCACGGACCCCTCTGCGGGTGGTGGGCCCACAGGAGGGACTGCCCACGTCGTCCATTCGGGCTGAGCCCGGCCGGGCCCCGTGGGCTAAGGCCCGGCCACCAGGCGCTCGCCTACGAGCCCCGACCCCAGGCCTGGCTCCAGGGTGGGGCCCCGGCTGCGCCATGCCGGGCGACGTCACTGATTTCTTTTGAGTGCTGTCCATGGTGTCTTCTGGACTGCTCTTTGTCTGACTCGTCACCCGAGACCTGTCTGCCATGGGAGGCCCTACCAGGGGCATGAAGCCCCAGACAGCATAGCTCCCAGGATCATCCGAGTACTCAAACTCCCCCACCACGTTAAGGTGGCAGTCCAGGGGAGAAGGAAGTCTTTTCCTAAATTTGGAAATCCTAGACTTTAAGTCAGTAATTTCACAGAACAGACCTGATGTTGGACAAAGTTGTGGTATAGGTGTAAGTTTTAACAAAGCAGAGAGGATTTTTCAAAGTTTTCCAGAACCAGAGTGTGCCACATGAGTGCTTTAACACAGAGTAAAATCTGGAACAGTCTTCCTGAACATGTGAGACAGCTTGTCTTACTATTTCTTCTCAGTTTAAGAATAAAACATTCAGCTGTGCAAGCAAATAAAAGCTAAGTCTAACAAAAACTATCTCTGCATGGTCTCTCTCTGGTCTCTCTCTGGTCTCTCTGTGGTCTCTCTCTGGTCTCTCTCTGGTCTCTCTCTGGTCTCTCTCTGGTCTCTCTCTGGTCTCTCTCTGGTCTCTCTGTGGTCTCTCTCTGGTCTCTCTCTGGTCTCTCTCTGGTCTCTCTCTGTTCTCTCTCTGGTCTCTCCCACTTTGGTCTCTCCCTGGTCTCTCTCTGGTCTCTCTCTGGTCTCTCTCTGGTCTCTCTCTGGTCTCTCTCTGTTCTCTCTCTGGTCTCTCCCACTTTGGTCTCTCCCTTGTCTCTCTCTGGTCTCTCTCTGTTCTCTCTCTGGTCTCTCCCACTTTGGTCTCTCCCTGGTCTCTCATCTCTCTCTGATCTCTATCTGGTCGCTCTCTGGAAGTTGAAGGAGAACTTTATAAGATTAAATAAATTGAATTGAAATGAACTTCTAAACACATCTGGGGCCTGAGGAATCCTTCTGATCCAGTGAGTGCAAGACATTTGTATAACATTAGATAGTTATCTTTCTATTAATTTATTTATTTTCCCCGTGTCACAAAAATGTACACATCTATACTTATATATTCATCATTTTGACTGTTAAGAAAAACATGATCATTTGTCCTTATATCCGTGTGAAATTGACTAAAATCCATGTTTCAGTTTTAATGGATCCTTTTTGTGAAACCATAAAACTATTGTGAAATGTACACAAAGAAAACGCGCTGTTCTTTGGATTTCATCAACAATTTACAACAAAATCTATCTTCAACTCTGAAGAGATCAATATTTCCGTGTGCGTAAAAATGACTCTACCGCGCGTCAGATATTGTCCCGTAAAACACACGCCTGAGGCACGTGCGCGTCAGTCATCATCCATCACGAGCACGATCTGTGTCCAAAACTCTGACTGCGCAGAAATGACCAGAAAGAAACGCTAATCTCTCTGAAGGACCCTCCTGTTTGCGCGTTTTCTCTCTGCGCTGATCTCGTGCGTAAAAGTCCCATTCTGCGCCACGTTCCCAAAGAATCTCCTCCAAAAGAAAAAAGAAAAAGAAGAAAATATTTACGTTAAAGGGCTACTTGCTTTAAGCCTCAAAAAGCACTCTCATGATCTCTCTCTCTGGTCTCTCCGGTCTCTCTCTCTCTGGTCTTTCCCTGCTCTCTCTGGTCTTTCTCTCTCTCTCTCTCTCTCTCTCCGGTCTTTCTCGCTATGGTCTCTCTCTCTGGTCTCTCTTTCTCTGGCCTTTCTTTGGCATCTCTCTGGTCTTTCCCTGGTCTCTGTGGTCTCTCTTATCTCTCTCTCTGGTCTCTCCTTCTCTCTCTCTCTCTCTCTCTGGTCTTTCCCTGGTCTCCGTGGTCTCTCTTTCTGGTATCTCTCTCTATCTCTCTCTCTGGTGAAATAATAAATGCTAATCTCGTTGAAGGACCCTCCTCTTTGCGCTAATCTCGTGCGTAAAAGTCCTTCTTTTCAGCGTCACTTTCCCAGAAAATCTCCTCCAAAAGCGACAAAAAAGAGAAAGAAAAACACCTTTATGTTAAAAGGCTAATACTTTACGTGGCCTTAATTCTTCTCCTAAATGCTTTTGCTGCGGGAGAAATCTGCCCCAAAAAACCCCTTCAAGAAAGAGGCGCATTATTGACTAATCCTCTTACGCGCTCGTTTGAAGACTTTCTCTTGGCCGAGGATGACGTTCCAAATCCCTCCTGCGCGCGGACAAACACGCACAACCCGACACCACGCAGCCTGCGACCGAGCCCTCACCGCGACAAGTCCAGATCTGTCAGCCCCAAACTGGAAACTCAAAACTATACACAGCCCAATCAGATTTATGTTGCCATGTTTGAGTTTTGGCGATGCGTAAAAATGTGCCAAAATAACCCAAACGCGCGCAAAACTTTGTATTACTTTTTTATTATTATATTATTAGTATTAGTATTATTTTAAAGCAAAAAGTTATAATTTTGCACCACATTTCAAAGTATTTTCCTATGGTTTGTGAATTTTAAAATGTTAATTGACAAAATTGTTTTGCACATTTTCAAACTTTTGTTTTAACTATTGGCGTGTAACTTTTGTCTCTTATCTATCTATCTATCTATCTGTGCATCCATCTATCTATCTATCTATCTATCTATCTATCTATCTATCTATAAATCTATATATCATTCTGTTAGTTTTGATATGGAGATTTAGGTATAGCTCTAAAAAATGCCACACTACGGACATGTTTGAAATATTGTCTAAAGAATTAGCTTTTTGTGAATACATTTCAAAATAAATTAATAAAAACGAATGTTATTTCATGCTTTCCTATACACACATCTCTTTTGCGTTTGGACTGTAACAAACTACATAAATATACACACACACACACACAGCACGACCCTTCATTATTACCCATCACTGCTGCTGCTGCTGCTGCTGATGATGACGGTGATTGACAGCTCGCTCGGCCAATCACAGACGGCCCTGGCCTGGTCCATATAAACGGAGCGGCCGCGGCTCGCACCTCAGACTCACAGACGAGAGGGAACTAAAAACACACCGCGGGGAAAGACACGCAGCCGCAGCGACAGAGCGAGGCGCGGATACACGTTTTTCAGACGCGGAGAATCAGGTAAATATCCCACAACTTTTAAAACAACATTGAGTTTATTTTTGTCTTTGTCACGTGTGGTTTAGTGTTGAGTTTTTCTGGCAGTTTTTCTGGAATGTGTTTAATGTTTGCTTTTGTATCTGAAATTCTAGTGTTTGCTGCATTTCACTTAAAGATATAAAACTTTCACTGTTGCTAATTTGCTCCTTTCTCTCACGCCCAAATAAAGAATTAGTTTTTTTATGGAATTGTAAGGATTTTATAGAGTGACTTTTACGCACTGTACTTGAAACCGGTCTATGACTCACTTTTGATTCAAGATTTCAAGAATGTATTTACCATTTGCAGTAAAACCACATTGGGAAAACTGTTTAAGACTTTTGAAGTTTGGTTTTCTCCACAAATACACACAATTTATTTTTTGCTTATAGAAAGAGCCATTTGAATCGCTTTGGAGAGAGTCAGATTGCGCGCGGCTGGTTCTGTGTTTTTCTCTTTTCTGAAACGTGAGAGGCCAAAAATACATTCATCTGAAAAGTATAGTGAAAGAACCAATATTTTGTTTGTTTTTTTAGAGAGAGAGAGGAACACATTTTATTCCACATAAAAGTGTTTTTTTATTCATACAATTCGTGAGAAGAGAAGACGCAGCTGTAATCAGAGAAAACTACAAGAGTCACTCAAGAATTGTGCAAAAAGTGAGAAATGTGCAACATGTTAATGCAGGATATATTATGTACAAGAAGTGGCGATTAGAAAGAATATTTAAACACGCAAGATACGCATATCCGAGCGTGCTGTGCGTAAAAGTATAAATGTTTTTATATTGTGTTTTTAACCATTGGCCAAAAGTGGATCGCGCGAGTGCGTCTCATATCAGTTGAGGGAAAAAAAAAAAACGTTACCAGACACAAATGTACAAAATTTGTCATTACATTTAAAGATAGATTTGTATGCAGTTGACAGCGCTGGGTCTATATAAAAACAAAGCCATTCGTTGCAAAACCAAATTACAAAAAAAAACTGTATTATTGATTATTACCAGTTATTCATAATTAATTAGTCATTATAGTTGTGTGTAATATGTGTACAAGTCTTATTGTTAAAATGGCCTTTACGCACGGACACACATCGTGACACATGTGGGGCCTGCTTTACTTCATCATTATCAACTCCCACTTCGTTGCATCTATAGTATATTATTATTATTATTATTATATTATGATTATATCAGTATAATTGTCTGTGCTCTTGGCCACGTGCCCCCGCGGGTTCAACCGAGTCTCGTTCTCCGTGATCATAGATTCTGCCCTTAACACGGTTCAATAATTGACATAATATTGGCTCGTGGTGTGTATGGCCGCGGGCAGAGCTGTTTAACAGGGCTGGAGGAGGGAGGGAGGGAGGGAGGGAGGGAGGGAGGGAAGAGGAGGGGGGAGAGGGAGAGAGAGACACACACACACACACACACACACACAGACAGAGAAGGAGAGAAATAGAGAGAGAGAGAAAGAGAGAGAGACAGAGAGAGAGACACACACACAGAGAGAGAGACAGAGAGAGAGACAGAGAAAGAGAGAAATATAGATACACACACACAAAGAGACAGAGAGACACACACACAGAGAGACAGAGAGAGAGAGAAATAGAGAGAGACACACACACAAAGAGACAGAGAGACACACACACAAAGAGACAGAGAGACACACACACACAGAGACAGAGAGAGAGAGAGAGAAAGAGAGAAATAGAGAGAGAGACACACACACAAAGACAGAGAGACACACACACAGAGACAGAGAGACACACACACAGAGAGACAGAGAGAGACACACACAGAGAGACAGAGAGAGAGAGAAATAGAGAGAGACACACACACAAAGAGACAGAGAGAGAGAGAGAGACAGAGATGTTTTTGTATTTTTATAATTGTTATTCTTGAGCTGTTTTGTGAAAGAGAAAGCGTGAGAAAATGCGTAAAGACAAGATTTTGAAATGTGTTTGTGTGTAATTGTAGTTATTTTATGGGCGTTTTGGAGAAAGGGAAAGCGAGAGAGAATCCGTGCGTAAAGACGTCACGCGTAAACACACAGTGAAGATATTTACATGTTTTTTTATGCATAATTGTTGTTATTTTAGGGCTGTTTTTGGGAAAGAGAACGCGAGAAAGAACTCGTGCGTAAACGCGACAAACGGGAAAAGTATATGTTCAGAAATGTCATTGCTTTTTGAACTCTTTCTAATGAACTACTTAATTATAGGACTAGAAAAGCAGCTGTATCAAAGGCAATAGTCACAATTTGAAGACTAAAAAAATTATTGTTATGGAAACATCAGGCTGATGTTTTAATAAAGCCAACACGTGTCAATGCGTTTAAAGCAATAAACAATATTATAATACCGGCAAAATAAATACTATATAAAGTCATATAATCATAATTTATTGTTTTAGGGTTTCTACTTCCTCATTTGTGTCTGATGTTTTTAATTAAGTGAGTAAGATCAGAAAAATCAGATGGAAATAGTCCCAATTTGAACTGTAGAAATATCGGATTTTCAGACGCGGTTGATGCAAGGCTAAACTTTGTGGGGTTTTTTGTTGCATTGGTCCTGGTGGAAAACATACAGAAATAGCTGCATTTGCAATTGATAAAAAAAAGCAAACAAAATGTCAGTTGTGGACACATTTTTAACAGCTTAGATCTGAAAGTATGATCGGGAGGTGGTGGTTGGAGGTCTGTGAAATGCGCTATACATTAAAATGACATTATTATGACATCTGACTTCAGCACGCGTGAGACTTATGGGAAAGATGAAGAGAAGTAAGTGCGTCAAAATAAAGTAAAAAAAATACAAACAAATAAATAAAAAATGATTTGGAGATTCAAAAAAGTGATTGTAAATGACGTTGCTTTCGGGAAAATAATCCTGTCTATTTTCTGCTTTTAGAAATAGCCAATTGATTTTTATCCCTTGCCACAAACTCTAGTGTTGAATTCTGAAAGTGAGAAAGAGTTGGGCCTAAACAGAAATGGAAGCATGGGTTTGACAATTAACAAAAAGGTGTTTTTTTTCTAAATCTGATTGCGGAGATTTCATGTTATTCCAAGTATTTACCGCGGTGGATTGTGTGACGTAATAGTATTTTTTTCCTTTTTTAACATTGACTATTTACGATATTTGTCTGAGACTGGTGATTTCTGCAAAACTTCCCTCTATTACACTGGGGATTTCAGGAGAACAAAACTAGCTAAAAACAAATCAGTGAAATAATCAAAAAACGGCTGCAGTCCATGAGTTAATGTTAAATTATAAGTGACACATCTCATTCAAACATTGTTATTGCATTGTTGACTGCTGTGTCTTTGTCCTAAACACTTGTTAATTTTCTTCTTTATTAGAGAGAGATATTTAATTGTATTTGCTTAAGTATTTAATTCACTTTTTTTTGTGCTCAATCTTTTCTGTAATTTATGACAGGACGCTGACATTTCCCCAATGAAGTATCTGTAATCTTAATCTTAATCTTAATTTCACGGTTTAAGCATGAGCGGCCCTTCTCATTAACATAATCAACCCATAATAGGCTTATCATCCACGGACACTGCAGCGCCTTTAACTACTGCATCCGAACCTGTAGTTTGGACACGCGTCTCTCTCGCGCCTCTACACCGCGTAAAAGAGGATTTATCTCACAAATAAAAAGACAATCAAATAGATTTACAGCCAACACAAATGAATTCAAAGCCCGTAAAACTGCTCCAAAAAAATCAATTAGGCTTTTATTTATTACTACTTTAGTGTTCTTTCCCCGCGCGCCCTTTTGACGCACACATTACGCACACGTTTATACCCGTGCCCTCCCGGTCCTGTCCCGTGCGCGGTGTCAGCGGTGATGATAAATGGACGGCCCGGGCAGTCGAAGCCTATTTGCACTTCTATTAGACGCGGAGCCAAATGGGGATCAGCGGCAGTGCATATTTTAGCCGGCGGAGAAAAGCCATACATCTCTGGGTCGACACTTGCTCCACTTGCCCCGGGGCGAAGGGATAAGGGGAAGGGTAATATGGAGAAGGGAGAGGGGCGGGGGTAGTGGGAGGTGGGAGGTGGGTAGGTGGGCGGTGGGGGGTCTATTCAACTCAAATACTTCGGGGAGCAAAGTAAATGTTTAGCAAAGCGCCGTCTGTCACAGAGATCGCTGAACCCGCTCCCACTGCGCATGCGCTGTATTTCTTCTTGATGGGACGTTGACGTGAAGAGGCCAGGACTAAACAGGAGCTGTATCTATAGCTCTTTATACTTTGTTAATTGTTATGGCAACATCCGGCGGCTTCTATTGTGTGTTTGATTAAATATGTTTGGCTATAGTTCAATATAAACTTCAACCGCTAATATTTACCTGCACGCGCTCAAAACATTTACGTCTATTTATGTGACGTCAATAGAGACATATATAATTTTCAGCATCTATTGTTAGGGGATAGTTTTCCTTCCTCATTTTTGTGTTTTTATAGTTTTGTGTTTGATTTGTTTTGCAGAATCTGAATTATTCCTATTGCCGTTGTTAAAAAACAGGAGGAATTTGTTTTGGCTCAAGGCGCAAACAAGTAAAAATAGATAAGACATGCATCAAAAATCTTCACAACATTTCGTAAAATAACACACACGCACACACACATACGCATGTCAGTGTGTTAGTGTATGTTTAACAATGAAATAGAAGGAGGCAATAACTAATCAGTGAAAGTAAAATGTAAATGGCCATCACTGAGGCCCAAAAGTTGCAACGCTGAACGAACCAATATTAAATCATTTTTTTCCTTGTTTCAACTTTCCACATTTTGTTGTTAACGTAAGATAAGATAAGATAAGATAGACTTTATTGATCTCACTAATACAAACTGGATCTCTCTGATAAAAATTTACTACGTCGTGTTGGCGGCTCTCCCGCAGGAGTCACACGGGGCAGGAGTGACGGGAGGCAGGCGTCACGGTGCATTGTGGGCCGGCGTGATAATGAGGCCAATTAAAAGGCTTTTGTATAATTAATGACATGAGCAGGGCGGTAATTGGGTCTTAATGAATAACACTTTGTCGGCGCATTCAGATCTATTGGCCCCCGGGGCGCGCGAGGCCCGTGTGTGGGTCTGAGCGCTTGCACGAGGCCTGTGTCTGTCTAAGCGCGAGCACGAGGCCCGTCAGACTGTCTCTATGGATATACATGCATCCAGCTTGTGAGATGTCTACTTTAATGACAGAACCATGAAGGAGATGGAAGGACATAAGGATAAGGAAGGAGGTTTTTTCTGTAATTTATTTGGATTTTTTGGAAAGAACCGCCCTCTCCACTTTTTGAAAAAACTCTGAGCTTATTTGACGAGCATGTATCACCAGAATGATTGACAGTTGGGAGGACCAATAGTCTTGATGATCCACCCAGAAGTAGAAAATCCTCCTGTACCTCATATTTACAATCTGATCTCCACCAGGGCGAAAGAGTAAATGTCTTTTGATGCATCTACGTTTTGACTTCTTTGGGGTTTAAACCTTTTTCTTTAAAGGAGAAATATGTAAAAATCTGGCCAAAAGACGTACTGCACTCTCACTGACTCAGGTTGAGTTTAGTCAACAACAAATCTAACCAACACCTTTTTTACAAAGATAGAAATCCTGGTTTTATTCCTTGTTTTGTTGTTTACGATTTGAGAATCATTATGAGACCTTTTTTTAGTTCTGCGCCACATGGTACTTTACCAGTGAGATTAGCTCCACGCGGTTAGTTCTGGCGCCCGGATCACAGACTTTCTGATTGGTGAAACGGTGGAGGGCGGGACATCAAAATGAAAACAATAACAAGATTTAGGCGCTGGAAAACTGATTTTGAAATTCAAATATCTCTGAACTACTGTTATCAGTTAAAGAAGTATTGGAAAAGAGCAGTTTATTATTATGACAGATTAGGGCCCTTTAATGATGACAGATTATGGCCCTTTAAAGATGACTCGACATGAAAATCTTACATAATGCTACTTTAAACAATATTGATCAGGGAACAGTGTCATTCACCTCTGACCTTTGATTCAAATGCAGCGCCCTAGGTTCAGAAGGAGAAAATGCAGGGCCAATAACACATATATTTACAGTCTGTGGAATAAGTGCAACAATTATTCTGGTAGAAGTTTCCTCAGAGGCGCAGCTGCCCCAGGACACATTGATGGACGTGAGGCTGCCCATCTGAGCCAGTCGCCCTGTGTCTGTCTTTAATGGTTTCTCTCATGTCTGTGTCTGTGTCTGTCTTTAATGGTTTCTCTCATGTCTGTGTCTGTGTCTGTCTTTAATGGTTTCTCTCATGTCTGTGTTTGTGCTCGCAGCTGAGAACATGCAGCACTACGGCGTCAACGGATACTCGCTCCACGCCATGAACTCCCTCAGCGCAATGTACAACCTCCACCAGCAGGCGGCGCAGGCGCAGCACAGCGCGGACTACAGGCCCAGTGTGCACGCACTCACACTGGCCGAGCGGCTCGCTGGTAAGAGACCAGTACACACACCAGTATACACACCTGTATACACACCAGTACACACACCAGTATACACACCAGTACACACACCAGTACACACACCAGTACACACACCTGTATACACATCTGTATACACACCAGTATACACACCAGTGTACACACCAGTACACACACCAGTATACACACCAGTATACACACCAGTACACACACCAGTACACACACCTGTATACACACCAGTATACACACCAGTGTACACACCAGTATACACACCAGTATACACACCAGTACACACACCAGTACACACACCAGTATACACACCAGTATACACACCAGTACACACACCAGTATACACACCAGTATACACACCAGTACACACACCAGTATACACACCAGTATACACACCAGTGTACACACCAGTATACACACCAGTATACACACCAGTACACACACCAGTATACACACCAGTACACACACCAGTGTACACACCAGTATACACACGTGTACACACCAGTATACACACCAGTACACACACCAGTATACACACCAGTATACACACCAGTACACACACCAGTACACACACCAGTATACACACCAGTACACACACCAGTATACACACCAGTACACACACCAGTGTACACACACCAGTGTACACACCAGTACACACACCAGTACACACACCAGTACACACACCAGTATACACACCAGTATACACACCAGTACACACACCAGTGTACACACCAGTGTACACACCAGTACACACACCAGTACACACACCAGTACACACACCAGTATACACACCAATATACACACCAGTACTCACACCAGTGTACACACCAGTGTACACACCAGTACACACACCAGTACACACCCCAGTATACACACCAGTACACACACCAGTACACACACCAGTACACACACCAGTGTACACACCAGTACACACACCAGTACACACACCAGTGTACACACCAGTATACACACCAGTATACACACCAGTACACACACCAGTATACACACCAGTACACACACCAGTATACACACCAGTGTACACACACCAGTGTACACACACCAGTACACACACCAGTACACACACCAGTACACACCCCAGTATACACACCAGTACACACACCAGTACACACACCAGTGTACACACCAGTATACACCCCAGTATACACACCAGTACACACACCAGTACACACACCAGTGTACACACCAGTGTACACACCAGTACACACACCAGTACACACACCAGTGTACACACCAGTGTACACACCAGTATACACCCCAGTATACACACCAGTACACACACCAGTACACACACCAGTACACACACCAGTGTACACACCAGTATACACCCCAGTATACACACCAGTACACACACCAGTACACACACCAGTACACACACCAGTGTACACACCAGTATACACACCAGTACACACACCAGTGTACACACCAGTGTACACACCAGTATACACACCAGTATACACACCAGTATACACACCAGTGTACACACCAGTACACACACCAGTACACACACCAGTGTACACACCTCCGTCTGGTTAGGGTGAAGTAACCGTGTGAGTGTGTGTGTTTACCGGCTGTGAATTCGCAGACATCATCCTGGAGGCGCGTTACGGCTCCCAGCACCGGAAGCAACGCCGCAGCCGCACAGCGTTCACGGCGCAGCAGCTCGAGGCTCTGGAGAAGACCTTCCAGAAGACCCACTACCCAGACGTGGTGATGAGGGAGCGGCTGGCCATGTGCACCAACCTGCCCGAGGCGCGAGTACAGGTCGGACCATCAACACACACCATCAACACACACCATCACCACACACCATCACCACACACCATCAACACACACCATCAACACACACCATCAACACACACCATCAACACACACCATCAACACACACCATCACCACACACCATCAACACACACCATCAACACACACCATCAACACACACCATCAACACACACCATCACCACACACCATCAACACACACCATCACCACACCAGTCTGACTGGTCTCTGTCTGGTCTCTTACTGGTCTCTGACTGGTCTCTGTCTGGTCTCTTACTGGTCTCTGACTGGTCTCTGACTGGTCTCTGTCTCTGCAGGTCTGGTTCAAAAACCGCAGAGCCAAGTTCCGTAAGAAGCAGCGCAGCCTCCAGAAGGAGCAGCTGCAGAAGCAGAAGGAGGCTTGTGGAGAGGGGGACAAGGAGGAGGTGTCAGAGGCCCCTCCCTCCTCCTCTGCGTCTCCTCAGGTCCCTCCTCAGAGTCCCTCTGGACGGGCCTCTCTGGACCCAGAGCTGAACGTGACCTCAGAGGAGCAGTCTGGCAGCGAGTCTGCAGCCGAGGACAACGGGACGGACCGAGAGGAGGAGCGAGCACCGCCAGAGGAGCTGAAGGCCCCCAGCCCCACCCACCTGTCCCCCACACACCTGTCCCCCACCCACCAGTCCAGCCTCCTGGCCCCACAGCTGACCTCAGACCTGACCTCAGACCTGACCACAGGGCTGACCTCTGGCTGCACACCTCTCAGCCCCAAACCAGGTCAGCTTAAGAACATAAGTTACAGATGTAGATTATTCTCTCGTGAACATGTGTTTCTGAATGTTGTAATAAATAGATGCTTACTCTGGTCATGTGTGTCCTCCACAGGCTCTGGTCCCGTGTCTCCGGCCCTGACGCCCTCGTCGTCCAGTCTGGCCTCTGGGCCTCTGCCTCAGGGGCACTCGTACTCCTCGTCCCCTCTCAGTCTGTTCCGGCTGCAGGAGCAGTTCAGGCAGCACATGGCAGCCACCAACAGCCTGGTGCCGTACCCCGCCTTCGAGCTGGCCCCTTCCTCACTGCCCTACCTGGGCATGAACATGCCCCCTGCCCCCCTGGGCTCTCTGCCCTGTCAGTCCTACTACCAGTCCCTGTCCCAGCACGCCCAGCAGGTGTGGAGCAGCCCTCTGCTCCAGGCCAGCAGCCACAGCAAGAGCAGCAGCATCGAGAGCCTGAGGCTGAGGGCCAAGCAGCACGCCGCCTCGCTGGGACTGGACGCTCTGTCCAACTGAAGCTGCGGCCACGAGGGGGCGCCCAGGAGCTACAGCTGTCCTCACGCCTGATCTCCATCTGAAGCACAAACTGGAGCAGATTTGGACTCAGCTCCTGCACTTTCACAATCCAACCCTGTAAACCCCACGGATATTTGCCTGAGACTCAGACCGAGCGTGTCTCATGGAAACAGCTGCACTGAACTGGAGAAATGTGAAGAAAAGGCACTTTCACTGGAGCCTCCTCCACGTTTGTGCAAAGCGACCACAGCCTGTCGTTGTCAGCACAATTAAACATGACTAATTTAGCCGTTTAATGGCTGCTAATATGGCACTTTGCACAGAGGCTGGCTCCGTAATGAGAAAACGATTTCAGTGACTACATACTTGGAGCTTTTAATTACATTTTGCCCTGGGCCGAGGGAAGCGGGGCACATGCAATTATGAACACGCTGCATTTTACTATTCTACAACAACCAATTAATGTCTCCGTGTAACCGCACAGCGCCACACCTTCAGGTGATCAAATTACAACATGAAAATGATTATAAAGTTGATGAATAGATATTCTCCTGAGAACAAGGTCCCATAAGATACTGTTAGCACTTGATGAAGAGAAGCCTCAGAAGAAATGTATTCATAAGGAAAAGAAATGCACATTATTTTAATATGTAATATTCAAAGTAGTCTATTCCTGTTTACGGTAAGGTATTTGTTGTTACTGTAAAAGTCATCACTGTAAGAATGTATGATTGTCTTTGAGCTCAACACGGCAGCTTTTTCAACATTTATATCTTGTGTTTTTATGTTTTTTTTGGTTTTTGTTGCAAAATTTGACCAAAACAAAAGGGGCCAGTTGCGAGGCCAGTACAACAAAAGTGTTTGAACTTTTATTTTCAGAATCTTCTTGTGAACAAAAGTTAAAGTTCCTCTGTCCCTTGTTTCCATGCAGTGGTCATTTACATAGAACTTTGAGGAGTTTATTGTTGTCCCCCAAAAATGTAGACTTGAATTAGTGTCGCTGTAATATAACCAATAAAACTCTGCTTGAAAATCTTTATAAGAAACAACTGCTTCTGTCATTTCTGTTTACTTGTTTGAACTTTATGGGTGTGAAAAAGTAACGGGGATCGCAAGTCACAAGACAAGAGTGAAAAAGTGAAAAACCATGAACTTATTTTTTGGGCTTTTTGAACACTAAGATGATGGTAGCGATGGTTCAGCACAGACGCACAGATCAGAGAATCAAACTCAATAAATGCCAGTGATAAAAAACACAGAGCCATTGGTCCAAAAGAGACAGAGACCAATGTCCACAAATGTTGTTGAATGTTGAGTCCTGGACCTTCCCCTCTGTCCTTGGACCCTCCTGCTATGGAAAGGAGAAACTCTAAAACCGCAGTGGGAGAACACAATAGCAGGATTTTACAAAGTTTTTTAACAACTTGTTCAGGTGATTTTCCAGTGACGTGTGATGTCGACTTTATTACACAGCTTTTAGTACTTTCTTTCCACCAGAAGCAAAAAAGCTGCGCGGCAGAAGTCAAAATACAAAAATATAAAGTTGTAGTGTTTGTCAGAAGATCAATTGAACCTCTTTGGACCACACACTGCTTGACTTCCGAAATCTCGAGCCCAGAGAGACCAGGTAGGTAAGGATACATAAGTACTATAAAGTTTCTATAAGAGCTTTCTTTACACAAGGACTAAACCAGAGGAGGATACCACAGCTGCCCTGGGGCACACTGACAGAAGCGAGGCAGCCAGTATGTGCCATCATTAACAATAAATCTATCAATCAGCTGTTGAGGAATCTGTGTCGGCTTTTAGAGGAGCTTGGATCTCACGGTTTGAGAAACGCCACACAGTCAGTTGTAAGAAGAGTAGAGAGGAAAAGTCACCACCTTGAGAGATCCCACAGAGAGTCACGTAAGAAAAAAACATAAAAGACACAGATTTTAAACCTCTTTAAAATGAATCCATTACACTGTATTTTTGTATAGCCCTAAATATAGCCACAAACAGTAGTTATTTGAGAGGACAGTTCAAAACCAGGAAGTGCAATGATAAAAAAAAACACATCCTTGGGTTTCATCTGACGTCAGGGCAGTGGCGCGAATAACAAACTTAGGACAGAACGTGACGTACCCTGGCGGTGCAGTCTGCCGGGTTTATACACGGAGATATAGTAGAAGAAGAAGTGGTTTATACACGGAGATATAGTAGAAGAAGAAGTGGTTTATACACAGAGATATAGTAGAAGAAGAAGTGGTTTATACACGGAGATATAGTAGAAGAAGAAGCGCTGTCAAGATGTCATCTTTTTGTGCGGTGTACGTTTGTAGCAACCGCACAAATAGAGAGAAAGACCAGAGTTTGTTCATGTTCCAACTGTGGTCTCATATAAAGGAGGACACTTCCAATCACTGGAATGAGGCGAGCGAGGTGGATCAAGGCTTTCCCAGATAAGCGCCCCCTGCAGGCCACCCCAATGAATTTCTTCTGTTATATTTTCCAAAAATGCCTTAAATCAAGACTCTTTTGAGAAATATTTGTTAGTACTGCCTTAGAATTGAGTGTACCCGATTAAGACTGTTCCAACAACCGTACACCGCACAGGAGGAGAGCCTTTGACTCCAAAACACACTTTACATGGTTTTCAATGGGAGCAAAACTGTCCCACCTCTGCTCATGCGCCCCCTACTGGCCAGTTTAATGAAACACAAGAATTGAGACATTGGTCCATAAGGGGCAGACACCGATGTCCATAAATGCAGTTGAATGTCGAGTGTCCTGGGAGAAAAAAATGGAAACGTCGAGAAGGCCTACATTGAGGAAGGGATCCGCTCTTGGAGTGACAGACCCAATCCAAGACTCAGGCGGTCTAGACTAAGAATCAGAATTATGACTGAGGCTTCTTGTTGCCGGGGGGAGGACATAGATCGGCACAACTTTACTCCTATCCCCATGTACTGCTTCTGCTGCTGCATAAATCTCCCGGAAAAACAACCCTGCTCAAAGTTTACACCTAGAAAACAGGCCATAAAACGGATGTAAAATTAAACGTAAGGTCAGCACAAGCAACGCAAACAAGATCTACGAGGGGAGAGGGGAAACAAATGGGACGTAAAGTGCCTTGTGCATGTGTGAAGGAGGCGGCCTGTGGAGACATAAGCCACCCCCCGATGAATAAGCAGCCCATTATCCTGAAGAATAGCGGCCCGCGGCAGTGATTATGCTCCTATTATATCCTTAACAGCACGGTTTGTCAAAATACAGGCCTCTCTCTCCGCTAGCCCCACCCGTGCACGTGCCGGGTTAGCTTCTGTTAGCACTGGCACGGTGTCCTTGCTGTACCCGCGGCTAACCTACACACACCGCTTGGCCGATGTTAATTGTAGTGGCCTTGAAAATGTGCGAGAGTAAAGAATTATGACACTTTACGGATGACTTTGGATTGAGAAATCGCATAAACTGGGGGTTTTGGGGTGTGAGACGATTAGCTGGGTTTAGCGGGGGATATTAGCCTGACCTTGTGTTGGTGGGTTGCAGGACACACAAGAGGACGAGATGGCATGTTTATAATGGGAGAGTTTGACCAGAAAGTGTCTGTGGTGCAAACAAAAGTGTAGTGGTAAAGAGATTTTACACAGAATAAACCATATGCACTGCAAAAAGTTATGGAAAATTGATCAAATTTGGAAAAATGTTTCTTAATTCAAACAATAATTAATTCTGACTGAGCCTTAAAACAAGATTTGCCAAAGGGACAAAGCTAAATAATCTTGTTTTAAAAGATAAAAGCAACAGTTCTTGAAAGTACCGTACATTTTATACGAAGACATTTCAGATCTCAGACTAAGAATCGAATCATCAACAAAATGATATGGATTAACATTGGTGATTTCTTGGTTTTCCCAAAGAAAACTAAGAAATGACCATTTTATTAAATTTGGAGATTGCAGTAAAACCACATTGGAATACATGTGCAAAAATCCCCAGTGTGCACCAGAAAAATACATACATTAAAACAGCCATAAAGTTTCAAATCAAGTAAAATTAAAACTACCATCTCCTTCATAAAGATGCAGCCTATACAGACACACACAGACACACTCACACACGCACACACACACACAGACACGCACAGACACACAGACACACACAGACACGCACAGACACACACAGACACGCACAGACACACAAACACACACAGACACGCATACACGCACATACAGACACACACAGACACACACACACACACACACACACACGTTTTTGTTACCTGGTGGGTCCCTTTGACAGGGCCGTTCAGAATGGGACCCATAGACATAATCTTTTTTTACTGGGACTACTTTAAGTAATACAAAACAGTCAATAGAAACCAAACAACTATTTTAAAGGAATTTTATTTTAGATTTTGTTTTCGAATTGCAGTGATTCTATTTTTGACATAGAATTTAATGCCACTTCATGTCCGATGTCTAAGGTCATCTGGTGAGGCATTAATGCAGGCCAGGCAGTGAGACTTGCCAGGGACCTTTCCAGTCTGTATGAAAGGTGTCATGGTCTTCTCCACAGCCTTCACCTCAGATGCAGACCATGGCTTTCTCTAACGTTCTAGGGAGAGAAATAAAAATATATTAGCAATATACACTCCCAGGGTTAGGACCAAGCAGCCTGGCTGTAATCCCCCACCTGGTACACTTACCAGAAGGGGCACTGCCACTACCATGGGGTGCATCTGGATGAATGGTTGAAGGTTCTCCGCTTGAAGTTTCTTTTAGCCCGTCCGTTTGTGAGAGGATCTCTACTGCTCTCCCTGTCGCACAGAAAATAAAAATACAAGTGGCCTTTAGGGGAAAAAAATCATACATATTTTATTAATATCAAGAATTACCTTCAGGCTCAATTTGTATCTGGTCGAGGCTCTTTCCTTCGAATTCCGTCACTCTTCCCTGCTCCATGGCCATCAACACTTTGCTGATTTTGGCCAGCTCCAGTGTCCCCTCTGGTAGTCTGTAATATTGCCTGTGGATGCGAATGTCATGGCCGAGGAAGTTGGCAAGTATGTCCATCTCATTCTCTTTCATATTGAGAACTGTAGACATAGTAGCTATGTGCTTTCTAAGTTTGGTTGAGGATAGCATCTCTGGATGCACCGCACCACATTCTTTGGCTACCTGGCGTAGGGAGTCTGATGTGGGTGTCTGCGCCCGGGCGGGAAAAGAAGTATGGGTTATGGTCAGAGATGGAACAGGCCCTTCTGTTCTCCACCAGCACCTCCATCGAAGCAATCATTTCAGGAGTCAAAAGAACCGGCACTTTCCGACTTCTTTTCCTTTAATTTCAATGCGTTGAAAATGCTGACACAGCTTTTTCTCAAGTTGGGACAGTCCCAGAGCAATGTCAGAATGGATCCCAGTCTTACTTCTTAAGGTAAAGGCTGTCAGTGGCATCTTTGAAACCTCACCTTCCCTTCTTCGATTGAAAATGATGACCTCACAAAGAGTCAAAACTGCCAGTTTAGACCAATGCTTAGACGTTGGCTCACTTATTAGGGTTTGCACATATTCAGGTCGACATACCTCAATATGTGCATGCATGGCTCTAACGTCCTCAGTCAGAGGGAGCAGGTCCGGAGTGTTCCACTTGGCTTGCCGGAGGGTCTGTAGGGCAGCAGAAGAAACACAGACGTCCCACCTCTTCTCAAAAAGCAGCCGGCTTCGTTGGAGGTTTTTAATAAATAGTTCATCAACACAATGCTCCATTTTTGAGTCACATTCAAGAATATCTGCTAGCTTTCTGAGGCTATGGCCGAGTTTGAGGGCCAAGGATGGAGTCTTGTATTGATTTGTTTCCTCATCATATCCAGCCACAGACCTGACTGCATCAATCACATGGTTAAAGTTGGAAGGAATAAAGAAATCCTTAATTGTTTTCAGTTTCCCTGCGGTTTTTGCTTCGTTAATTAACCTACCGACTTCTCTCATTTTCTGCCTAATGTAATCATGCTTAGTCTTATCATGCCCGTGTTTTAAGTACAGGTGCTCTCCGAGTCTCAGAATCCCCTTTTCTGCTTTGACAACACCCGTGACCTCATCCTGATGCATTGCCGAAATTAAAGACCACAGCTTTTTGCTGATGCCCTCCGGTACAGGCTGGGCTAGGGAGCAGAGGGACTGGACCCTACTTCTACCTGGTTTAGCCTGGTTTAGCCTGGGCATCTTTCTGTGAAAGCCGGCACCTGGCCACATGCCTCCACAGCGACTTTCGCTTAAGCAATGCCCCACAGTCTATACAGTGCAAAAACTCACTGGATTTAACTGGGGAATTTGGCTGTTTAGCTGGGACTAAAGTTCCAATGCCGGCCTTTAAAACCTCAAAATTGTGCTCACGGTTTCCACTATTCCTGATCAAATCAAACTGAAGTTTACGTGCTTTAGATTTCACAGGTAGAGCCAATGCTCTGGCTACGTCACTTTCATTTCCATGTTTTCTAGTCAAATGACGGGACATTTTGTGGCAGGACATTGAACAGTAGAGGCAGAAGTGTCTCTTGCTGTAAACTCGCCCCCCATTTTTCTTCTTTTGCAGCTGCATGATAACAATCTTATTTGCCTTTGGTTCGTCACTTTCCGAGTCTTGAAGAAAAGTGTTTTTGATTTTTCTTTTTCCATACTTTTTTACAGGTTTCTTCTTGACAGTTAAATCGTCAGAATCTGAGTCGACTTCATCAATTAGGGACTCTTGACTAAGCTGCACAAACAACAAATAATTTGTAATCATTCTATATAACAATTTGAAGTCATGACTTGTAGTCAGCACTTACCAGTGGTTTGTAAGCGTGCGCTTCAGTGTGCTCCTCCATGATGTCTTGCAGCCTAATGAACCACACACTTGCACCTTTTTCTAGCCTGACACCTGATTTCCTCTGTTGTGCTGCTCCATGATTGGCTCCAGCCTGCTGGACTGAAATTGCCCCAGTGTGCCCCTCCTTGATATCCCGCAACCCACCACCAGGGTTCCGACACATAACACACTTTTTTCAGGAAAGTAAACCTCCAGGGGTCCTTTCCATATTTTTACAGAGACTGCATAAGGACCGTTAGAAAAGCATTACCCATTGATTATTAAGCTTGGACCAGTGGGGTCCGGTGTTCGGGCCCCACCACGTAAAACCAGTCCCCATGACGTGAGTGGAATCTCAGGTTATGGAACCCACCAGGAGTTGAAAACAAGTGCACACACACACACACAGACACACACAGACACGCACAGACACACACAGACACGCACAGACACACACAGACAAGCACAGACACACACAGACACACACATACAGACACACACAGACACACACATACAGACACGCACAGACACACACAGACACACACACACAGACACGCACACACACACAGACACGCACAGACACGCACAGACACACTTCACACACGCACACACACACAGACCTCTTTGGCCCTCTCCTCCTGGTCCTCACCTGGTCTCCTCCTGGCCTCTCCTCTGGGTCCTCACCTCTCCTCTCCTCTTGGTCCTCACCTGGTCTCCTCCTGGTCCTCTCCTCTTGGTCCTCACCTCTTGGCCCTCTCCTCCTGGTCCTCACCTGGTCTCCTCCTGGCCCTCTCCTGGTCCTCACCTGGGTCTCCTCCTGGTCCTCTCTCTGGTCCTCACTCTTGGCCCTCTCCTCCTGGTCCTCACCTGGTCTCCCTGGGCCTCTCTTATTGGTCCTCTCCTCTCCTCCTGGTCCTCACCTGGTCTCTCTGGTCCTCTCCTCTCCTCCATCTTGGCCCTCCTCACCTGGTCTCCTCCTGGTCCTCTCCTCTTGGTCCTCACCCCTCTTGGCCCTCTCCTCCTGGTCTCTCACCTGGCCCCCTCTCTCCCTCCTGGTCCTCTCCTCTCCTCTTGGTCCTCACCTCTGGCCTCTCCTCCTGGTCTTCACCTGGTGCTCCTGGTTCCTCCCTCTTGGTCCTCCTCCTGGCCTCTCCTCCTGGTCCTCACCTGGTCCTCACTCTGGCCCTCTCCTCTTGGTCTCACCTCTCTTCTGGCCCTCTCCTCCTGGTCCTCACCTGGGTCTCCTCCTGGTCACTCTCCTCTTGGTCCTCACATCTTGGCCCTCTCCTCCTGGTCCTCACCTGGTCTCTCCTGGTCCTCTTGGCCTCCTCCTGGTCCTCACTTGGTCTCCTCCTGGCCCTCTCCTCCTGGTCTCACCTGGTTCTCCTGGTCCTCTCCTCTGGTCCTCTCTCCTCCTGGTCCTCTCCTCTTGGTCCTCACCTCCTCTTGGCCCTCTCCTCCTGGTCCTCACCTGGTCTCCTCCTGGTCCTCTCCTCTTGGTCCTCACCTCTCCTGGTCCTCTCCTCTTGGTCCTCTCCTCCTGGCCCTCTCCTCCTGGTCCTCACCTGGTCCTCCTCCTGGGTCTCCTCCTGGCCCTCTCTCCTCCTGGTCCTCTCCTGGGTCCTCACCTCCTCCTCTGGTCCTCACTGTCTCCTCTGGTCCTCCTCACCTGGTCTCCTCCTGGCCCTCTCCCTCACTTGGTCCTCACCTGGTCTCCCTCCTGGTCCCTCTCCTCTTGGTCCTCACCTCCTCCTGGGCCCTCCCTCCTCCCACCTCTTGGCCCTCTACTCCTGGTCCTCACCTGGTCTCCTCCTGGTCCTCTCCTCTTGGTCCTCACCTCTTGGCCCTCTCCTCCTGGTCCTCACCTGGTCTCCTCCTGGCCCTCTCTCTTGGTCCTCACCTCTTGGCCCTCTCCTCCTGGTCCTCACCTGGTTTCCTCCTGGTCCTCTCCTCTTGGTCCTCACCTCTTGGCCCTCTCCTCCTGGTCCTCACCTGGTCTCCTCCTGGTCCTCACCTCTTGGCCCTCTCCTCCTGGTCCTCACTTGGTCTCCTCCTGGCCCTCTCCTCCTGGTCCTCACCTGGTCTCCTCCTGGTCCTCTCCTCTTGGTCCTCACCTCTTGGCCCTCTCCTCCTGGTCCTCACCTGGTCTCCTCCTGGTCCTCTCCTCTTGGTCCTCTCCTCCTGGTCCTCACCTGGTCTCCTCCTGATCCTCTCCTCTTGGTCCTCACCTCTTGGCCCTCTCCTCCTGGTCCTCACCTGGTCTCCTCCTGGCCCTCTCTCATCCTGGTCCTCACCTGGTCTCCTCCTGGTCCTCACCTCTTGGCCCTCTCCTCCTGGCCCTCTCCTCCTGGTCCTCACCTGGTCTCCTCCTGGTCCTCTCCTCCTGGTCCTCACCTCTTGGCCCTCTCCTCCTGGTCCTCACCTGGTCTCCTCCTGGTCCTCTCCTCTGGTCCTCACCTCTTGGCCCTCTCCTCCTGGTCCTCACCTGGTCTCCTCCTGGTCCTCTCCTCTTGGTCCTCACCTCTTGGCCCTCTCCTCCTGGTCCTCACTTGGTCTCCTCCTGGCCCTCTCCTCCTGGTCCTCACCTGGTCTCCTCCTGGTCCTCTCCTCTTGGTCCTCACCTCTTGGCCCTCTCCTCCTGGTCTCCTCCTGGTCCTCTCCTCTTGGTCCTCACCTCTTGGCCCTCTCCTCCTGGTCCTCACCTGGTCTCCTCCTGGTCCTCTCCTCTTGGTCCTCACCTCTTGGCCCTCTCCTCCTGGTCCTCACCTCTTGGCCCTCTCCTCCTGGTCCTCACCTGGTCTCCTCCTGATCCTCTCCTCTTGGTCCTCACCTCTTGGCCCTCTCCTCCTGGTCCTCACCTGGTCTCCTCCTGGTCCTCTCATCCTGGTCCTCACCTGGTCTCCTCCTGGTCCTCACCTCTTGGCCCTCTCCTCCTGGCCCTCTCCTCCTGGTCCTCACCTGGTCTCCTCCTGGTCCTCTCCTCTTGGTCCTCACCTCCTGGCCCTCTCCTCCTGGTCCTCACCTGGTCTCCTCCTGGTCCTCTCCTCTTGGTCCTCACCTCTTGGCCCTCTCCTCCTGGTCCTCACCTGGTCTCCTCCTGGTCCTCTTCCTCTTGGTCCTCACCTCTTGGCCCTCTCCTCCTGGTCCTCACTTGGTCTCCTCCTGGTCCTCACCTGGTCTCCTCCTGGTCCTCTCCTCTTGGTCCTCACCTCTTGGCCCTCTCCTCCTGGTCCTCACCTGGTCTCCTCCTGGTCCTCTTCTCTTGGTCCTCACCTCTTGGCCCTCTCCTCCTGGTCCTCACCTGGTCTCCTCCTGATCCTCTCCTCTTGGTCCTCACCTCTTGGCCCTCTCCTCCTGGTCCTCACCTGGTCTCCTCCTGGCCCTCTCATCCTGGTCCTCACCTGGTCTCCTCCTGGTCCTCACCTCTTGGCCCTCTCCTCCTGGTCCTCACCTGGTCTCCTCCTGGTCCTCTCCTCTTGGTCCTCACCTCTTGGCCCTCTCCTCCTGGTCCTCACCTGGTCTCCTCCTGGTCCTCTCCTCTTGGTCCTCACCTCTTGGCCCTCTCCTCCTGGTCCTCACCTGGTCTCCTCCTGATCCTCTCATCTTGGTCCTCACCTCTTGGCCCTCTCCTCCTGGTCCTCACCTGGTCTCCTCCTGGCCCTCTCATCCTGGTCCTCACCTGGTCTCCTCCTGGCCCTCTCATCCTGGTCCTCACCTCTTGGCCCTCACCTGGTCTCCTCCTGGTCCTCTCCTCTTGGTCCTCACCTCTTGGCCCTCTCCTCCTGGTCCTCACCTGGTCTCCTCCTGGCCCTCTCCTCCTGGTCCTCACCTGGTCTCCTCCTGGTCCTCTCCTCTTGGTCCTCACCTCTTGGCCCTCTCCTCCTGGCCCTCTCCTCCTGGTCCTCACCTGGGCTCCTCCTGGTCCTCTCCTCTTGGTCCTCACCTCTTGGCCCTCTCCTCCTGGCCCTCTCCTCCTGGTCCTCACCTGGTCTCCTCCTGGTCCTCTCCTCCTGGCCTTCCGTCTTTTTGATCCCGTTGCCTCCGTGTTGCCTCTGTGTCTCCTCTCCGCTCTCGCTGGTTTGCGTCAGACAGATGGTTCTGGCGCCCCTGGTCTCTGTGGGGTTCTCTGGCTGATGTGTGGCTCTCGTTAGGCCCAGCAGGAGAAGGCACACCCGCCTAATCAGCGTCCTCCTGAAGACTCCTAATGAGCTGCTGATTACCCACAAGTCAATGCTCCTCCTCCGCTCCATTTGTCCGCTATAGATCCCAGCGTCGCCGGAACCATCAGTAAGTAAAGTCAGGCTTAAGGAAGGAGCTCATGAAAGATTCAGACTCGAGGAGATGGAGCTGGCAACACATTCATAAACTGGCGTGGCGTTATATAACCATATCAATGGCTCTATTGTAGAAAACATGTCTTTTGCGGTCGAAGAACTTTTTGAATGCATAACGGTGGAATTAACTATTCCAAAAACCAAACCTATTATTGTAAGTTGTGTTTACAGGGCACCGGGAGCTGACATTAAGGCTTTCAATAAATGGATGGAAAAAATATGTTTGAACAAAAGTAAAAAATGTGTTGTCATTTGTGGAGACTTTAATATTGATTTATTAAATCCTAAAAAGCATAAACCGACAGAAGAATTCCTAGATACCATGTTCTCAATGAGCCTATACCAGGGGTGCCCAAACTTTTTAGTAAGAGTGCCACTTTAGTTCATCAGACTGGTCCAGGGGCCAATTTCACCGACTGAAAAACTGTTCTGAGCTCTTTGATGATCTATAACAGAGCTGAAGTTGGCTGAATGACAAAGGTTTACCAACTCACAAGCTACAGTAGCACCATTGACGTAACTGACAAAATCAAAAGCCACGGCAGTACAGTATGTGCCAAAAAAGTCAACAACGTTCTGGGCTTTAGTACAAGGTCTATATTGGCTGAGCTGAAGTTGGATGGATGACACAGTGAACTTATGTTTGTGATCTCAAAGAGTACTTTTGCAAGGCAGAGGGCCACAAAAAAATGACACTTAGGGCCGCAATTGGCCCCCAGGCCCGAGTTTGGACATGGCTGCCCTATACCCACTTACTGTATAACAAAACCAACAAGAATCACTTCACACAGCGCCTCCCTAATAGACAAAAAATGTTGTAATACTTTGGACAAAAACCAAACCAGTGGCCTGTTAATAAAAGATTCTTCATGATCTATGACACAAACTGTATAATAACCACGCCTGCTCAAAGTGAACACCATTATAGAGTCATCATAGCTCTAAAAAACGAATTGGCAAATCAAACCTGGGAGTCCAACTACCATTCGCCAGATGTAAACACAGCTTACAATGGCTTCATTCAGATTCTCACCACAAAATAGAAAAAATACCTATATATGCAATTTCTTAGAGTTAGAACGAGAGAAAATGAAATGAGATATAAAAAATAAAAAAACAAATTAACCAGTATATTGCGAATAAGTATAAAAAAATATTATACAATTTTACTGATAACTAAAAAAAACGATATCAAAGCAATTTGGAACATATTGAATGATGTCATTGGTCGAAGCTCCAGCCTGTGTTATCCAGGGTTTATTGTGGAGAATTAAACTATCTTAATAAAAAGAGTATTGTGGATGGTTTTAATAAGTTCTTTGTCAGTATAGGCCCCGACCTTGCAAAAAAGATACCATCGGAAAGTGACATTGGGAAGGGATTGCTCGAAATAAATCACAGTTCCTCACTCCCACATATGAGGAGGAAGTCCATAGCTTTATAAGAACATTTAAGAACAAAACATCTCGAGATATAGACGACATTGACATGAGAACCGTACGAAATCTAGCAACAGAGATTATTAAACCATTCACACACATCTGCAATTTATCATCCCAACTTGGCGACTTCCCCTCCCAAATGAAGAGGGCAAAAGTCATCCCAATATTCAAAACAGGAAATAAACATTGCTTCAATAATCATCGGCCTATCTCTCTTCTGCCACAGTTTTCCAAAATACTGGATACATTGTTTGACACAAGACTACGTGGTTTCATTCAGAAGTGCAATTTACGGTCTGATGCTCAATATGGACTCAATTGAGGACATTACAAACGGTATTGAAAAGAATCATTATGTACTAGGAATATTCATTGACCTCCAAAAAGCTTTTGACACAATCGACCATTACATCCTAATAAATAAAATGGAGGCTCATGGCATAAGGGGGCCGGCCTAAACTGGTTGGTGAGTTACCTGAATGATAGGAAGCAACTTGTACAGTTTGAACAGCACAGGTCAGGCTTCAGAGACATCACATGTGGTGTTCCACAAGGGTCCATTCTGGGACCCACACTTTTTCTCATGTACATCAATGATATATGCAAAGTATCAACATTATTGAAATTTATACTTTTTGCCGATGACACCACAATTACGTGCTCAGGAAACGACTTGGTGCAACTTTTGTCCCTCGTAACAGTGGAGATGACCAGATTAAAGAGGTGGTTTAATAATAACAAATTGTCACTCAACTTAAAAAAGACCAAAATTATGCTTTTCAGTAATCGTAAAAGTAAAATACCACTTGATGATACACCTATTGAGAATGTTAAACAAAATGTATTTTTGGGAGTTATAATAGACAAAAAAATGACATTCTTCTGGTTTCAGTTGAGTGTTTCACTAACTCAACCTTATCAGCGAGCTTAACACAAAAAGAAATGGGACGCAGGAGAACTGTGGTCTCTCCATTTCTTATTATTATTTTGTAAAACTGTAAATACATACAAAAACATGTATTAGTACAAAAATCAAAAGAAAAAGATGTGTCTTACACACATTAGTAACATATACTGTAATTAACACCACTGGCATTGATAGCAAATTAGCATAGCTGGCTCACAGGAAAAACGAATAGTAAACAAACTAAATACATGTTGATTCTACACAACTGAAAAGCTCTGTAACATTCAAAACACTCACAGATTATGTCTTGCCAAAGATACAGCAGAAAAAACGGGTGGTAAAAGGGCACATAGAGGAGCGGTTCACGGGTGAACTCCTCCTGTGCTGGACTCAAAATGGAGGACTCTGCCTGCTGCTTACATCTATTCACCCATAGGTGGCTCCACCACAAACAAAACGCAAGACGCAGTTGAAATAAAACAGAGAAAGATGGCAACCAAATAGCAAACTCCCATGGTTAAAGTGGTTCTCACCCCCGCTCCTCGGAGCTTACGTTACTCACATTTCCTGTTCAAATCTTCCTCTAAATGGGCGTAGCCTGGAGGACTAAAGGGGGCGTGAACGAGACTGGGCCGTTTACATTGCTCTGGGCGGGGGGCTGCTGACGTCAGGTCTTGCTGCCGCGCCAGTGTTGGCGCCAGATTCAAAATTCAAATGTAGTAATACAGGTCGCCAGCAGATGGCGCCTCACAGACGGTTTTAGGCAGAAAGTCTAACTTTCAACTAATTTGCACCAAAGTGACAAGATTATGACCAGGATATGTAGACAACACTATTGGACACTCATTTATACCGTTTATCAGCAAAAAAAAGTGGATTTGAGGGTGAGTTGTCCTTTAAACAAAGAATTACATCAGCTTTTTATAAAATAATTCTGCTTAGGGAAACATATCAAACTATGAGGGACAGAATAGACATGGAAACCTCACATTAGTTGCTTGCGGATGAAAGTTGCAAAATGTGTGGGAATGATGAAGAGATCAAGTCATTTAATTAATACCAATGCTCTCATGTTGTTATATCATTCTTTCATAATGTCATATCTGAATTACTGTGTTGAAGTGGGGAAACTGCTACAAGTCTCATTTGCAGCCTCTATTTATTTAACAAAAAAAGGCCATAAAGATCGTGTCTAATGTCCACTACAGACATCCTTCAAACCAATTGTTCATTGAAACTAAACAACTTAAACTGCATGACTTGGTTAACCTTAGAACTGCTCAGATAATGTTCAGGACGTCTGCCAACTTACAAAACCTTTTTCATGATAGAGACGCTCATCACAGGCACAGGCTTAGAAGAAACGAACAATTATATGTCCCTAAAGTGAGAACAACATTGAAATCTATGTGTATCTCTACCAGAGGAGTGAAGATCTGGAATGATTTCACGGAAGCATTAAAATCATGCTCCAACATGACTAAGTTTAAGAAACCTTTCAAAAAAGAAATACTGCAGAAATACGCAGAAGAAGGAACATGATTCCCTGAGCAGTAGTGTGTGGTCGGTGAACGTTTGGGGCCAGTGTCTGTGTGAGTGACTGAGTCTTGTCCCGTCTTGTCCCATCTTGTACCGTCTGGTCCTGTCATGTGTTGTCCCAGTGTTGTATCTACAGTAATGTATTATTATATGCTCGACTTTACGTTACCGTTGGGGGTAGTTTAAGGGGATATAGATTTGCTTTTGACTTGTTTTTTTGTGTGATTTTTTTGTGGTTTTTTTTGCATTGTGCTTGTGTTGTGAAGAATGTGTGAAAGGTGGTTGGATATAAAATAAGCTTTTGCTTCTTCCAACCCCCTTTTCAAATTATGCATATGCTCTACAAGAGAAAGTGTTCTAAACAATGTTTGTGCTGGTTTGAAATAAATAAATTGATTGATTGATGCCTGGTTCCCATGGTAACAGTCCAGTTGTGTTGTCAAACCCAACCTGTTCCGGAAGGCTGTATCAGCATGTTGTCATGGAAACATCCCTTTGTGACATCACTTGGAGTTCCGGGTGAGTTTATAACACTGAGGAGAGTTCAGACTCAGTGGGACCGTGTCCTGTCTTGTTGGGGCCCGTTCACTTCGGGATTAATCATGGTGTTTTTCACACTGGCTTGGGCCGGCATTTACACCGTGAACACCTCTGCTTCATTTCTGAAGGAATACTTTTTTCCCGGAGAGAGGAGAGAGAGTCCAAGCTCCAGGCCACAAACTCCAGCAGACTCCTTAGAGCCGGCTTTGGGCCCGGAGGCGGCAGATCCGAGTTCGATTGCGTCCTTCAGTAGCAACCATCACTACAGTAAATACAGAGGGTGTCGGAAATCTTGCCTGGACACGCCCTCGACCTGTACACACCATGACGTCTTCGACCCAAGCGAGCGGAGGTACGCTGACGCCCTGGGACTGACATATGGGACAGAGACCACCTCTGCTTCATATCTGAGGGAATACTTTTTTCACGGAGAGAAGAGAGAGGGTCCAAGCTCCAGGCCACAAACTCCGGCAGACTCCTTAGAGCCGGATTTGGTTCCAGAGGCGGCAGATCCGAGTTCTATTGGGTCCTCCAGTAGCAACCATCACTACAGTAGATGCAGAGGGTCTCGGATCCCTCGCCTTTGCCCGGACATGCCCTCAACTTGTACAGACCATGGCGTCCTCAATCCGAGCGAGCGGAGGTACGCCGCCGCCCTGGGAAGGAAGAATCGGACAAAGAAACGAGTAAACTAAAGGGCCATTTCCACCGGCTCAACTCGATTTTCCCCGGTTTGTGGACGTTTCCACCGGCCCCTTCTTCAGTTGACCTTAGCCGCTACCGGGTAGTGGCTAAGGTAAACTCCTTCTTCACTTGCCCTTAACCGCGACCGGGTCGTGGCTAAGGTCAACTCCTTCCTCACTTGATCTTAGCCACTATCAAGTAGCGGCTAAGGTCAACTCCTTCTTCAGTTGACATTAGCCGCTACCGAGTAGTGGCTAAGGTAAACTCCTTCACTTGACCTTAACCGCGACCGGGTAGTGGCTAAGGTCAACTCCTTCTTCAGTTGAAATTAGCCGCTACCGAGTAGCGGCAAAGGTCAACTCCTTCTTCAGTTGACCTTAGCCGCTACCGGGTAGTGGCTAAGGTAATCTTCTTCACTTGACCTTAACCGCGACCGGGTCGTGGCTAAGGTCAACTCCTTCCTCACTTGATCTTAGCCGCTACCGAGTAGAGGCTAAGGTCAACTCCTTCTTCAGTTGAAATTAGCCGCTACCGAGTAGTGACTAAGGTCAACTCCTTCCTCACTTGATCTTAGCCGCTACCGAGTAGTGACTAAGGTCAACTCCTTCCTCACTTGATCTTAGCCGCTACCGAGTAGTGACTAAGGTCAACTCGTTCTTCAGTTGACCTTAACCGCGACCGGGTCGTGGCTAAGGTCAACCTCCTTCTTCAGTTGACATTAGCCACTACCGAGTAGTGACTAAGGTCAACTCCTTCTTCAGTTGACCTTAACCGCGACCGGGTCGTGGCTAAGGTCAACTCCTTCTTCAGTTGACATTAGCCGCTACCGGGTAGTGGCTAAGGTAAACTCCTTCACTTGACCTTACCCACGACCAAGTAGAGGCTAAGGTCAACTCCTTCTTCAGTTGACAATAGCCGCTACCGGTCAGTGGATAAGGTCAACTCCTTCCTCGGTTTGGTCGGAGAGGACAAACTCCCGCAGGAGCTCGATGGTGCCTCCTGAAACCAGAAGGTGTTTGCGGAGGTTGTGCTGAGGATGGCGGATCATCACAGTGCGAAAACAATGGGAGAGATGCTGTTTTGTCCCAGCTCCAGATGTTGAGGTTGAGAGAAATGGTAGGTGTTTTTTCTTCAATCAAATGCAAAAGTATCTGGTCATATGCCGAACGTGTGTCTGTGTGGTTCAGAAAGTCTAAAAACAGCTAAACTGTTTTAAGCATAAACGGAGCGGCTATGGAAACGAAGAAAGCTACCAAGTCGAGTCGGTAGCTGTCTATCGCCAAGAACAGTTTGTATTGCTGTACTGTGTATTATATATATATATATATATATATATATATACATGAAAAGCTTGAGAAATACCAAGGTCTCAGAGAGGAGCTGGAGAGGGCCTGGAGGGTAAAGGTGACAGTAGTGCCTGTGGTGATGGTGCACTCGGGGCAGTGACCCCGAAGCTAGAAGAGGTTACAGCGGATCCCTGGAACAACCTCGGACATCTCGGTCCAGAAATGTGCAGTGCTAGGAACAGCAAAGAGACTACGCAGAACCCTCAAGCTCTCAGGCCTCTGGTAGAGGACCCGAGCTTAGAGAGGGATAACCGCCCGCGGAGGGCCAAAGGTGAGTGGACAATTTTTTTTAATGTAAAACAAGACCCAGTTTCAACCTAGCTTTAAGCAAATGACACAGTGAGTGTTTTGACTGAATTAAGAATCCATTATCCACTCTCTAACTATGTGTAGTAAAAGATATAGATATGACACATAACATCAACATCACTGTTTTTAAGACACCTTAAGACCAGATACTTTTGCACCATAAAAACAAACCCTCAGTTTGCTGGAGAAGTTTGGTAACTTGAGCATGATCTTCTCCTCCTTCCTACCTCATCTGTCTGCATTATTAGGATTCGTTCATTGCTATTCACCCGTTGTCTCGTTTTTTGTTTCATGGTGCGACAAAGGGACCTCTGAGCCGGTCCTCTCCTTCTATACCTGTGGACTGCCCTGCCCGACCCGCCTGGGACCGATTCACTCCTGCACCGGACCTGTCCATGTTTTGTGGCCGCTTCTTTAGCTTAGGTCCTGGATCTAAAGCCCGTCCGTCCGTGTGGAGCGGATCCCTTTCTCAAAATGTGGGTCTCCCCGAGGTTTCTCACTTTTTCCCACTGGGTTTTTATGAGTTTTTCCTTGCCGATGCAGAAGGTTCTGTTGGACAGTTAGTGTCCAACAGAAGGACTGTGGTGATCCAGGACACTTTAACATTCTACAACATGTATGACATTTATCAACATGTTCTCTTTTGTGTCTTAACTGTTGATTCTCTGATCTGTGTTGGTGATTTCAATAGTTTTGTTAAGTCTCTGAGATGATGCCGTTGTGATTTAGGGAAATACAAGAATAAATTGAGCAAAAATTTACTTTAGTATGAGTGTTTGTGACCGGGGTGGGTGCCAGGGGGTACAGTGGAGCAGAATCAAGCCACGGTGGCGTCCTATTCAAAACATTGGCTGGTGCTCAGAGATTAGCAGTACTCGCCCATATTTGGGCATCGTCTGGTCCTCCCGGTTCTGCGCAGTGGACGAGCTCCCATGATGCCTTGCGCCAAATACTTGTGCGTGGCTCTCGTGTACGTTCACAGAGGGACTCGGCCACGCTCTGACTAATCAGCGCTGCTGATCAGAGCGGAGCTTGAGCGGGAGTTGGAGACGGGAACAAACAAGCAGAGTTTGTGGATTTAATGAAAACCAAAGGTTTTTTTAAGAAGAAAAAAAGTTCAGGATGACAAGAGACACTAAAATGAAAGCTTTAGGTTCTCTGTCAGCTGAGGTTGAGTTGTTTTAGTTTACAGTGAGTTCTATGGGACTTTTTTCTGGGTAGCCCAAGTGAAGTCAGTCTCATTTAGCCTGGAGTACCACGAGAATCCCCCGAGCACGAGGGTCCTTCAGCTCCGAGCTGTAACACCCGATAATAACAGAGAATATAATAGAAGGGGCTAAAAACGTCCTCATAGCTTCTCGTATGACTGCATTGTCAAAGACTACAGATGGAAAGTAGTGTGGTGCTAAATATGGACCTTCAATCTAATGTAACTGCACATTGTCCTCACATAAACTAAACTAAACTAAACAGCTTTGGTCTTAAATATTGATTATTTTAGTGTATTATATTTATACAACAACAACTTAGTGGTCCAAAAAGGAAAAGAGAGAAACCTTTTGTCATGTGTTGGGATGAAGGAAGGACCTAAAATACACAAACACAGATTTAATGAAGACAATTAGGCAAGGCCAGGTTATTTGTATAGCACAAATAATCACAATATATTAAAAAGAAAGATAAAAATATAAAATCCCTCAGCTGTTGCACAGCTAAACGTGTTTTTAACCTGGTTTTAAACATTGTCAGAGAGGAGGCCTGTCAATCAAAGTCCAGGAAAAAAAGTAAGTAAGTAAGCTTTATTTACCGCCTTTCACAGACCAGAGTCACAAAGCGGTTTACAATTGCTATTTTTTGGGCACTTGTCCTCTCACTCCACAGAGCGGGGTCGCCGAACAGGAGGCGCATGCCAGACCTACTGTACATATTTTTAGTGGTAGGGGAAACCGGAGTACCCGGAGGAAACCTACGCAGACACGGGGAGAACATGCAAACTCCACTCAGAAAGGCCCTGGTCCGGCCGGGATTCGAACCCAGGACCTTCTTGCTGAGAGGCGAGAGTGCTATCCACTCAGCCACCGTGCCGCCCACGCCCAAAAAACAACTCAAAAATCCAAAGGAAACACAGGGACCAGAAAAAAACAGGCAAACAAAGGCAAGGGACCAGCAAGAAGTGGAGAGGAGCACAGGTACATATACAGACAGGTGAAAAACAATGGGAGAGGAGCACAGGTACATATACAGACAGGTGAAATACAATGGGAGAGGAGCACAGGTACATATACAGACAGGTGAAATACAATGGGAGAGTAGCACAGGTACATATACAGACAGGTGAAATACAATGGGAGAGGAGCACAGGTACATACAGACAGGTGAAATACAATGAGAGAGTAGCACAGGTACATACAGACGGAGGTGAAATACAATGGGAGAGGAGCACAGGTACATACAGACAGGTGAAATACAATGAGAGAGTAGCACAGGTACATATAGACACAGGTGAAATACAATGAGAGAGGAGCACAGGTACATATAGACACAGGTGAAATACAATGGGAGAGGAGCACGGGTACATATAGACACAGGTGAAATACAATGAGAGAGGAGCACAGGTACATATACAGACAGGTTAAATACAATGGGAGAGGAGCACAGGTACATATACAGACAGGTGAAATACAATGGGAGAGTAGCACAGGTACATATACAGACAGGTGAAATACAATGGGAGAGGAGCACAGGTACATACAGACAGGTGAAATACAATGAGAGAGTAGCACAGGTACATATAGACGGAGGTGAAATACAATGGGAGATGAGCACAGGTACATATAGACACAGGTGAAATACAATGGGAGAGGAGCACGGGTACATATAGACACAGGTGAAATACAATGAGAGAGGAGCACAGGTACATATAGACACAGGTGAAATACAATGGGAGAGGAGCACGGGTACATATAGACACAGGTGAAATACAATGAGAGAGGAGCACAGGTACATATACAGACAGGTTAAATACAATGGGAGAGGAGCACAGGTATATACAGACAGGTGAAATACAATGAGAGAGTAGCACAGGTACATATAGACGGAGGTGAAATACAATGGGAGATGAGCACAGGTACATATAGACACAGGTGAAATACAATGGGAGAGGAGCACGGGTACATATAGACACAGGTGAAATACAATGAGAGAGGAGCACAGGTACATATAGACACAGGTGAAATACAATGGGAGAGGAGCACGGGTACATATAGACACAGGTGAAATACAATGAGAGAGGAGCACAGGTACATATACAGACAGGTTAAATACAATGGGAGAGGAGCACAGGTACATATAGACACAGGGAAACACAATGGGATAGGAGCACAGGTACATATAGACACGGGTGAAACACAATGGGATAGGAGCACAGGTACATATAGACACGGGTGAAACACAATGGGATAGGAGCACAGGTACATATAGACACGGGTGAAACACAATGGGAGATGAGCACAGGTACATATAGACACGGGTGAAACACAAGGGGAGAGGAGCACAGGTACATATAGACACGGGTGAAACACAATGGGAGATGAGCACAGGTACATATAGACACGGGTAAAACACAATGGGAGAGGAGCACAGGTACATATAGACAGGTAAAATACAATGGGAGAGGAGCATAGGTACATATAGACACGTGCACCTGACCTACATTTTTTTATCCCCATAAGCACTCACTTCTCTCTTTTTTGTGATAACACATCTTGAAAATGGTCGTCTCCCACTCCATAAAAGCTGTATCGGTGTCACAGAGGCCTGGTTTGGTCCTGATGTTGGCAGCAGCAGCAGCAGCAGCAGCAGCAGCAGCAGCAGCAGCAGCAGCAGCAGCAGCAGCAGCAGCAGCAGCAGCAGCAGCAGCAGCAGCAGTAGCAGCAGCAGCAGCAGCAGCAGCAGCAGCAGCAGCAGTAGCAGCAGCAGCAGCAGTAGCAGCAGCAGCAGCAGCAGCAGCAGCAGCAGCAGCAGTAGCAGCAGCAGCAGGCCCCTGACATGAGCTGTTTCTGCCTGATGGATGGAACAATCGCTGAGCCCAGTGCCCGGGTGGGATAGTTTGTCTTCAGCCGACACCGTGTCCCTCTGCACAGCCCTCAGTCTGTGAAGATGTGCTCGGTCCAGATGAAAGCGAGAGGGTCCTCAGGTCTGGGACTGGTTTACTGCGTGTCCCAAATGTCATGAGCAAAAAGAGCGAGGCGGCTTTTAGTTTTCCTGCTGCTCATTCATTTTATTTGCTATTTGCAGTAAAACCATGTTGGAATACATGTGCAGAAAGTATCCCAGTGTGCACCAGACAAGTATATACATAAAACAAGCTAAAAACTACAAGAAATAATAGTTACTGTGAAACTGATCAACAGAGACAGTTGAACAGGAGGATTCTCTACTTCCGGGTGGACAATCTTCCCAACTGACAATCTTTCTGGTGATACGTGCTCGTCCAACCAGACCAGAGAGTTTTGTTCAAAAAGTGGAGAGGACGGTTCTTTCCTAAAAGTTGGGAAAATAGTTCTGCAAGATCATTAAAGAGAGTCCTGACTAGAACCAGGAAGTACCATCACATTAGTCCAGTTCTCAGGTCTCTGCACTGGCTCCTGTGGCTCAAAGAATAGACTTTAAATCAGCTCTGGCTGTTTTCAAGTCTCTCCAGGGCCTCGAACCAAAATACATCTGTGACATGTAAGTGACATATGAACCAACTCTGAGGAGCACAGGGACTGGCCTCCTGCTGGGACTCTGAGGAGCACAGGGACTGGACTCCTGCTGGGACTCTGAGGAGCACAGGGACTGGCCTCCTGCTGGGACTCTGAGGAGCACAGGGACTGGCCTCCTGCTGGGACTCTGAGGAGCACAGGGACTGGACTCCTGCTGGGACTCTGAGGAGCACAGGGACTGGACTCCTGCTGGGACTCTGAGGAGCACAGGGACTGGCCTCCTGCTGGGACTCTGAGGAGCACAGGGACTGGACTCCTGCTGGGACTCTGAGGAGCACAGGGACTGTCCTCCTGCTGGGACTCTGAGGAGCACAGGGACTGGACTCCTGCTGGGACTCTGAGGAGCACAGGGACTGTCCTCCTGCTGGGACTCTGAGGAGCACAGGGACTGTCCTCCTGCTGGGACTCTGAGGAGCACAGGGACTGTCCTCCTGCTGGGACTCTGAGGAGCACAGGGACTGGACTCCTGCTGGGACTCTGAGGAGCACAGGGACTGTCCTCCTGCTGGGACTCTGAGGAGCACAGGGACTGTCCTCCTGCTGGGACTCTGAGGAGCACAGGGACTGTCCTCCTGCTGGGACTCTGAGGAGCACAGGGACTGTCCTCCTGCTGGGACTCTGAGGAGCACAGGGACTGGACTCCTGCTGGGACTCTGAGGAGCACAGGGACTGTCCTCCTGCTGGGACTCTGAGGAGCACAGGGACTGGACTCCTGCTGAGACTCTGAGGAGCACAGGGACTGTCCTCCTGCTGGGACTCTGAGGAGCACAGGGACTGGACTCCTGCTGGGACTCTGAGGAAACAAGGCAAAGTATTCATTCCCAAAAATAGCTCAAATTTGGCAAAATGTATCTTAATTTGAGCCAGATTTGCCAACGGGACAAAGCAAAATGATCTTGTTTTATGAATAGATCCAAGAAATGTTTCAGATGAGAAAATAAAGCAACATTTCTTGAAATCAGACTAAATGTTTTTGTCCCGTTGGAGAATCTTGTTTGAAGAGACACAATGGGCTCAAAATAAAATAAAAACCACTACATTCAAGCGTTTATTTCCCCATATTTCATAATTTTTTGCAGTTTAAGGGGTTAAATATGAAATTGTGCATATTATCTTAACAATCTCTAACAAGTTTAATTCTACAACCACACTTAAACGTACCACTTTCTCTTTAGAAATCACTGATGCGACTGATGAATTCTACTTAGTCTTTTGTTCAGAGTCTCCCGCTCGGCCTCCTCCAGGAACAGAGCGATCCACGACATGAGTAACGAGGATGTAGAAGCAGTGGTCAGAGGGAGCCACGGGCGCCTCATTTGGAGCCAGAGTCCCGGTGAGTGGGTCCCCGGGGCCCGGGCGCCGCGGCCGGTGATGAGCTGTGCGTCCCGCGGTCAGGATCTCTATTGTGGACTCTGAATATGAATCCGGGGCTTACAGACAGGACCGGCGCTGACCCACTTTACGGCTAATAATGTCCTCACTGCAGGGCCATAGGTACAACCGCACCTGGTTAAAAGTACCAGTTTTCGGAGTTTTTGATGTTAAAATGTTGGACCTCATCAAAAACAGAGCAAATATCAGGGAAGATGAGATAAAGCTTTCTCTTCTTGTGCACATCCATGTATGTTTGTTGTTTAATATCGTAGTATCATAGCAACAGCAGCCTCCCAGGGACTACGGTGGAATGAGCTCTTGAGCTAAAACCTGGGACAATGCATCTTTCCCTTTGAGGTTAATGTTTATTGTACAGTGTCCCTGTCATCTTCAACTTTTCTGTGTGTCTGTCTGAAAAGCCAATCTAAAATATAGATTGATACTTTATTGATCGCTGTAGGAGAAGTTCAGGTGTCCAGCCGCAGAACCCCTCAATCCAAACAAACAAATACATCGTTCTAAAAGTGACTAACAATATGAATATTAAGGATAGAACCAGACGCTGAAAGACAAGAAAAAATAACAGAAAACTGTGAAAACCTGCTCTGAAATCACTGGAGGAAAACTCTCTGTGTTTTTTTATTTATTTTTTATTTTATTTTATATTGTAACCTGCTGCTGCGTGAACTGTGAACTGACTCAATGTGTGTTTTAGAGTTCTGCTTTGAGATTATGCTGAAAATGAATTGCTCTTTGGGATCAATAAAGTTTTGTGAATGGCATGCGGGAAATGGGCATGGGAAGACCAGGGGAAGACCAGGGGAAGACCAGGGGAAGACCAGGGGAAGACCTGGGGAAGACCAGGGGAAGACCTGGGGAAGACCAGGGGAAGACCAGGGGAAGACCTGGGGAAGACCTGGGGAAGACCTGGGGAAGACCTGGGGAAGACCAGGGGAAGACCAGGGGAAGACCTGGGGAAGACCAGGGGAAAACCAGGGGAAGACCAGGGGAAGACCAGGGGAAGACCTGGGGAAGACCAGGGGAAGAACAGGGGAAGACGGAAGACCAGGGAAGACCAGGTAAGACCAGGGGAAGACCAGGGGAAGACCAGGGGAAGACCAGGGGAAAACCAGGGGAAGACCAGGGGAAGACCTGGGGAAGACCAGGGAAGACCAGGGGAAAACCAGGGGAAGACCAGGGGAAGACCTGGGGAAGACCTGGGGAAGACCAGGGGAAGACCAGGGGAAGACCAGGGGAAAACCAGGGGAAGACTAGGGGAAGACCAGGGGAAAACCAGGGGAAGACCAGGGGAAGACCAGGGGAAGACCAGGGGAAGACCAGCGGGAAGACCAGGGGAAAACCAGGGGAAGACCAGGGGAAGACCAGGGGAAAACCAGGGGAAGACTAGGGGAAGACCAGGGGGAAACCAGGGGAAGACCAGGGGAAGACCAGGGGAAAACCAGGGGAAGACCAGGGGAAGACCAGGGGAAGACCAGGGGAAGACCAGGGGAAGACCTGGGGAAGACCAGGGGAAGACCAGGGGAAGACCAGGGGAAGACCAGGTAAGACCAGGGGAAGACCAGGGGAAGACCAGGGAAAGACCAGGGGAAGACCAGGGGAAAACCAGGGGAAGACCAGGGGAAGACCTGGGGAAGGGACCAGGGAAGACCAGGGGAAAACCAGGGGAAGACCAGGGGAAGACCAGGGGAAGACCAGGGAAAGACCAGGGGAAGACCAGGGGAAAACCAGGGGAAGACCAGGGGAAGACCTGGGGAAGACCAGGGAAGACCAGGGGAAAACCAGGGGAAGACCAGGGGAAGACCAGGGGAAGACCAGGGAAGACCAGGGGAAGACCAGGGGAAGACCAGGGGAAGACCAGGGGAAAACCAGGGGAAGACTAGGGGAAAACCAGGGGAAGACCAGGGGAAGACTAGGGGAAGACCAGGGGAAGACCAGCGGGAAGACCAGGGGAAAACCAGGGGAAGACCAGGGGAAGACCAGGGGAAAACCAGGGGAAGACCAGGGGAAGACCAGGGGAAAACCAGGGAAAACCAGGGGAAGACTAGGGGAAGACCAGGGGAAGACCAGCGGGAAGACCAGGGGAAAACCAGGGGAAGACCAGGGGAAGACCAGGGGAAGACCAGGGGAAGACCAGGGGAAGACCAGCGGGAAGACCAGGGGAAACCAGGGGAAGACCAGGGGAAGACCAGGGAAGACCAGGGAAGACCAGGGAAGACCAGGGAAGACCAGGGAAGACCAGGGGAAGACCAGGGAAGACCAGGGAAGACCAGGGAAGACCAGGGGAAGACCAGGGGAAGACCAGGGGACCAGGGAAGACCAGGGGAAGACCAGGGGAAGACCAGGGGAAGACCAGGGGAAGACCAGGGAAGACCAGGGGAAGAGAGAAACCAGGGAAGACCAGGGGAAGACCAGGGAAGACCAGGGAAGACCAGGGAAACAGGGAAGACCAGGGACAGGAACCAGGGGAAGACCAGGGGAAGACCAGGGAAGACCAGGGAAGACCAGGGGAAGACCAGGGGAAGACCAGGGGAAGACCAGGGGAAGACCAGGGAAGACCAGGGGAAGACCAGGAGCAGACCAGGGAAAACCAGGGGAAGAAGACCAGGGAAAGACCAGGGGAAAACCAGGGGAAAACCAGGGGAAGACCTGGGGAAGACCAGGGGAAAACCTGGGGAAGACCAGGGGAAGACCAGGGGAAAACCAGGGGAAGACCAGGGGAAGACCAGGGGAAGACCAGGGGAAAACCAGGGGAAGACCAGGGGAAGACCAGGGGAAGACCAGAGGTGTCTCTCTCTGGTCTGGGAATGCCTCAGGATTCCCCCAGATGAGCTGGAGGAGGTGTGTGTGCTCAGGCTGCTGCCCCCGGGACCCGGCAATGGATCAAGTCATGAAGTCCGCCTTAAATAACAGAATTGAATTAGTGAATGTGTTTAGTTTAACAGTTTAGTTTAACAAAAAATATGATACATTTTGTATTCAATTTTGAACACTAATGAAAGTAGTTTTTTTTTTATCAAATTCATGGTTTTACTAAAATAAAACACAATTTAACACTGTTAACACTGACTGTCAAAACTGTTCTTCCAGCTTAACCTTTTTGTGTTTTTAGCAATTTAAGGAAGAAAATTGTTCTACATGTTTTGCTTTTGCGGCCCCGCCCGTAAGCTAATGCTTCCTGGGAGTTCATGTGTATAACTTGTAAGACTATGAAGTTTTGTAAATAAATGAATTGAATATATGATGTATTACTTTTAGCCAAATTAATAATATTCTGCTGCAACCCTTCCCTTTACAAAACAAAATTAAATCGAGATAACAAATTGTGTTTTTGATCATTTTAAGACATCCAATCCAATCCAATCCACTTTATTTCTATAGCACATTTAAACAACAGAACAGTTCCAAAGTGCTGCACAAAAAATAGAATAAAAAAAAATAATAATAATCAATTTCATCAAGACATACAGTACATAATGAGGTTTAGCACATACCCCACACTCTACCGACTCTAGCTACATTTTTTTGGGGACAAGGCCTGAACCCGAGCCCCTCTGTTCTGAACAATCCTGTAGAGGAGGTTTCATTTGTCAGAGAGAGGCGCGTCCCGGCGTCTGTGTCCCACACCATTTACATCTGCTCTGGCAACATCATCATTCGTCCTCCTAATGTCCCCCTCGCTCCCTCTGCATCCACTAACGCACATGTTGTTGTTCTTCCATGTTTTTACAGAGACCGACGGAACGATCTGATGGAGGCAACGTATTGAATCACACACGGGAGAAGGTCGACGTCTGAATAGTGTGTTTTTCTACGCCTCAAATCATCTCCACGGCATTAAACTTGACTAGAAATAAGCGGGCGACGCGACGTATAGGCGATAAGTAATGGGCTATAGCACCCTAGAAAAAAAAAAAAGAAATGTGCCTTTGTTCCAACACGCTCTGATTCAGATCTACTAAGTTAATCACTGCAAAAACTGATACAATATGTGGAGATAAAGGCAATAATGGTATAATCGAGTGGTTTTTATCTTAATTTGAGCACATTCTGACTGCGTTAGATCATTTAGCTTTGTCCCATTAGAAAATTAGCATTAGCTACACACTCTGTATGTGTCGCATCAGCTGCATTTTCATAATGTAACTATGTATGACTACGTTGTCCCTGTCAAATAAATAAATTAAATAAATAAATAAATCTTGTTTTAAGACAGTCAAAAATAGATAGATAATTTATTCATCCCCATCGGAGAAATTCAGGTGTCCAGTAGCAGCCAATTTTTATTTATTTTTTATGTAAAAACGCAAATGCAAAAAAGGACTAAAATGTGCACAAATGAAGATGTATGTTGCCAAATTTGAGCAATTTTTGACTTATTTTATTTACACTTTTTGCAGTGTTGGAGTTCAAATGCTCTCTATATCCAGGCGATCGTGAGGGGGAGGGGTTGTGTTCTTTAATTGGCTAAAATAACACATCATATTTTGCACTTTATGTTGCTCCATGTTGTAAAACCAATCTTTACTTTAAATATTTTGTCCCGACCGCTGTTAGACAGTCACAAAACGCTTTACAATTGTCGTGGTCATTTGTCTCTCTCCACAGAGATGGAGCTGGTCGCCAACATGAGGCACATGTCAGATCTATTGTGCATGTTTTTAGTGGTAGGGGAAACCGGAGCACCTGGAGGAAACCGGAGCAGACACGGGGAGAACATGCAAACTCCACACAGAAACCTGCACCACAGTACCTCCCGTGTCTCCTTTAACACAAAGTCTCCCACCGTTATGAAACTACTCAAACTCCCAGAGCCGTCATTTTGACTGCTCCCATCGAACCAATGGAGTTCTGACAAAATCCCCCCAACAATTGTCTGTAAAAGTAAGAAATATATATATTTTTTTTACTTTTACTCACTTTTACAACTGTTTGTCAAAAGGCTAAATGCTGAAGGCTAAATGCTAACGTCTGACGGTAGTAGTAGTAGTAGTAGTAGTAAGTAAGCTTTATTTATATACCGCCTTTCACAGATCTAAGTCTCAAAGCGGTTTACAATTGTTATTTTTTGGGCATTTGTCTCTCACTCCACACAGAGATGGGAGCGGGGCCAGTACAGGAGGCGCATGCCAGAACTATTGTACATATTTTTAGTGGTAGGGGAAACCGGAGTACCCGGAGGAAACCTACGCAGACACGGGGAGAACATGCAAACTCCACTCAGAAAGACCCTGGTCCGGCCGGGATTCGAACCCAGGACCTTCTTGCTGAGAGGCGAGAGTGCTATCCACTCAGCCACCGTGCCGGTAAACAGTGTGTCGCTATAGTAACCAGCTACATGCATATAACATATTTCAAGACAATTTCTTGAGGATAACATAAAAAGTCACAAAGTTATGAGACCGAAAAGGAACATATACGCTGAGCAGTAGTTTAGCCTCGGCCGCCGACTGAAGCAGGTTTTAATGATACCTCTTTAAGTGATTTCACTAAAACCTCCAGCCTCAAAGTCCAGAAGCTGCACTTTGTGGCTACACTTCTATCAGTACAACAACAGAGCTAGCGATAGCAGCAGATGTAGCACGGTAGCGGCTTTCGAGGCCTGTCTTTTCAGATGGGACACGAGCAAAGATCAGCAAATTAACAGATCAAAACAATGTTATTTCCCCCCCTCGCCCCCCCTCTCGCCCCCCCCCCCTGCTCCACCTTCAGTCGGTTCTGCCTGATTTGGCCTCATTGCAAGGTTGAGTGGCGCCGTGTACGAACAGGGAGCCGCGGCTGTCATTTCCCAAAGTCATACATTTCAATTTCCAATCATCGCGCGCTCTTCTCTCTTCTCCTCGTTCCTCCGAAGCCGAAAACCGTCTCGGGAATTTGTCAATCTCCGTGTGTATGTGTACGTCTCTCTCTTCTCCGTTTCCGACTTCGCCTCCAAAACACCTAGTGGCGTTTATTATCCAACAATGCAATTTCGCCCGTTCGTACAGACACACGGCCTCGGAAGATGACGCCTAAATGAAACGCCATTAATATCCGTACGTGTGGCGGAGGAGGTGGTAAATATTGCGGCCTTGTGTGTGGCATTTGTGTGTGTGTGTGTGTTTGTTTTCAGGTGAGACAAGCCCAGAGGCGATGAATCAGTTTTGAGGAATGCAGGGAATTTGAAGTGATGGTGATGTGGAATAGCCTATAGCCAGGGCCACCGCCGCCACTGCCAACGCCGCCGCCACTGCCAACGGCGCCGCCGCTGCCCGATGCGGTAACAAAGCAAACGCGGTGGAATAGACACATGTCATTACTCCGAAGTAAGATGGTCTCATGGTAAATGTCATAAGGAAATGTATTACTGCCACGATCCAGTATGAATGATGTAACTAATGTTTGCAATCTGTGAAATACAGTGTGTGTGTGTGTGTGTGTGTGTGTGTGTGTGTGTGTGTGTGTGTGTGTGTGTGTGTGTGTGTGTGTGTGTGTGTGTGTGTGTGTGAGAAATTGAAATTGAAAATGAAATTGAAATGAAACTTTGGGGTGAGACAGAGACCAGAGAAGGCTCACACTATAGTTTTCCCCGGGCTATGTTAACTCAGGACAACGGTGGGAAAGGTCGTCGTGTCGTTTGAACCTGTGTCAGAGGGTAAGAGTGTCAACATAAAAGTGTCTGAACAAAAGTGCTCCTGAACGAGTTTAGTTCAGTGAACGAGAGTATAAATATTCTCTCTCAGCTGATTTGGTTTTATACTGGTTTTCTGGACACTTCAAATGTCATTTTTCATTCATTCCATACACAGTGGTGACGAACTGTAGCCACAGCTGCCCTGGGGCATACAGACAGAAGCGTGGCAACCAGTATGTGCCATCAGCTCCTCTGACCAACCATTCACACACACCAGACTTATTTTAATGTGGGTGAAGTGTTGTGTCTAAGGATATAAATGACAGTTTGACACTTTGCAGTTACAGCCGCCTCACTGTGGCACCTGCTGTTCCCAGAGGTCTCCCATCACAGTTCTACCCAGGGCCTACCCTACTTAGCTTCAGAGTTCTGACAGGATCTGGCTTTCACCTGCAAGATGAAAATAAAACATAGAAAAAATGTATTTTTGAAACCAGACAAAAAAGTTGGGTACTGCTGCTTTAAGGCCACAAAGGTCAATGCAAATGTGTTGAATTTGGATGCAGCCATTGGATGAATTTGGATGCAGCCATAAGCTTTGGACAGAACCAGAGCCGTGACAGCAGTGTAAGTCCTGAGCGTGTGGAGCAGAGGGGGGCGGACTGTCATGGCGGTTGTTAATGAGCGTTCATTAGCCCAAGGCCCGGTGCAGCGTGGCATCATGGGAAGTGCGCTCACTGCTCAGTCGACCGGCGCTCTCCTGGCTCCTGTCCCAGCGTGTGCTCTCTGTATGCAAACTGTACCTCTGTCCGACCACAGGGCCCACTCCCCAAACCCCAGCTGTTCCACTCATCTCCACACTCACACATTTAGTCAAAAAGCATCGAAGTACATTTGTGACATGTTAGCGCAATATGAAGAGGCCCAGACTCTGAGGAGCACAGGGACTGGCCTCCTGCTGGGACTCTGAGGAGCACAGGGACTGGCCTCCTGCTGGGACTCTGAGGAGCACAGGGACTGGCCTCCTGCTGGGACTCTGAGGAGCACAGGGACTGGCCTCCTGCTGGGACTCTGAGGAGTACAGGGACTGGCCTCCTGCTGGGACTCTGAGGAGCACAGGGACTGGCCTCCTGCTGATCCCAGAGTCAGGACTAAATGTGGACGAAATGAAATGAGTACGATGGTGTAGTAAGACCAGGCTACATCAGTCCCTGTTTGGTTATTTTTGTGTTTTCTATGGATTTTTTAAAACATTTTTATTAAATTATTTTTAGCAGTTTTGCACTTTGGGCTCATTTCCGTTTCCCACCGTGACAGTATACGGCTCCACCATCCTTGGGGTTTCTTTGATTTAGTTCTTGGAGGACGCGGCCGCAGCAGAGTGAAATATTTAAAGGGGAGGTCCGAGGAGTGAAGGACAAAGCCGTAATGCAGTCTAAAGTGGAGTAAATGACGTCTGAGTCGCGGCCCTAATGAGCAGGTGATCCTCGCTCAGCAGGTCACACTCAGGCAATTAGCAAAGTGACAGGCTGTCCGAGGGATGACAGCCACGTGCACGCTCCTGGAGCCTCGTGCACGCTCACAGAGGCCTCGGGAGCGGGCACAAGGCTGAGAGCTGATTGGCTGAGCGAGGGTGTCTGTCTGAAAAAGCTGAAACAGACACAGACACCAGAAATGTTATGCTTCTGAACTTGGAACTATAGGGTTAATTTGGTGTGGTTTGAAAGTCAGATACCTCAGCTTTAAGCATTGTACAGATTAACGCACATTTATTGACAGTGGTCATCCCGTTCCCTATGGACCAATGGCTCTGTGTGTTTGTAATTATTGCATTTCCTGTGTTCTGTTTGATTCCATAATCAGTTGTTGGGGAATCAACAGCTTCGTAAACTTCTCTGAGACGGCCGCTGCTGTAATTTAGTGCTATGCAAAAATAAATTGAATCAAAATACACGTCTTAACTTCTCTCCTCATGGTGGATAAAAGCCATTCGACCCCTCATTTGGATGGTCGTGTTGTTTGTGTAGCGGTTCTGTTGGCACCCCCTCTAGTTCACAATGTTACAGCTTATTTTCTCTGTTGTTTGTTCCTTCGAGATTGGAACCTAAGTAAGTAAGGAAAGGTTATTTGTATTCTTTATGACATCTATAACCCCTGTGGCTCTTTATGAAACATTACTGTAGGTTCATTTGAAATATTTAGAATTAGCTTAAATTATTGTGTAGAAATAGTCAGGAAAATGTACAGCTCCGCTCCTCTACTGACAAAGTTGCTATGTGATAATATATGTTTTCCTTTGAGCAAAAATGGCCACACAAGACAGTTGAAAATTGCCATAGAAAGTGAGTAAAACCCAGGGGAGGTGCTTGGTACGGTGGTCAGAGGACTAAGGTGAGAGCAATGGCAGCGCACCTATTTTCAGGCCATAAATAACTCAAACCTGCAGCTGTGTGGAAATGACCAGGGAGAACATTTATAACAGGCCAAAAACTGAGAAAAGTCCATTTTAAAGTTATGTAGACCCTTGCCTTAGACCCCTTTTTGACACATTACTCTCTTCCCCCTGGTTTAAAAGCCGACACGAGCCAAAACAACACAGCAACCTTTCCCCACTGATGTCCCGGGTCCAATACTGTGTGTCATGTAAACACAAGTCCACAGCGGAGAAAACGCATTCAGATTTAAAATGAAAGAGGATCTTCAAATACATACAGCATAATACAGATAGATAGATACTGTAGTAGATAGATAGACAGTTGCTACGGTAACTCCTCTGGGCGGCCATGGTGTCTGGATGCTGAGTTTATCTAGGTAGCACTGCTTACATAACCCCCACACTCGGGCTCCTGGAGGCCTCTCTGAGACTTCACGATCAGGAGGACTTGCCTGGACCGGATCTGCAGTGCTGTTCCAAAGACCCTCGTGCCGGTGGCGATGGCGGGGCCCCCACACCGCAGCGTTGGGGGCCTGAGACAGTTATAAATGGCTGTCATTTCCTCCTGCGCTCTCTGTGAGGACGTCGCCCCGGGCAACAGCGACGTGAGGGCGGTCCCCGGAGACGCAGATACTGTGAAAACAACTCAAATACTGATTATGAGCGTTTAAAGTCCTGCGCTAAATGTACGATCAAAGAAATGGTTTTGAGATTTGAATCTTGTTTCAACAGCGTTCTCTTAATGAACAAGGGGAGGCGGCATTTCAGATTCATCGGCAACTAAAATCTGGAGCAGTCTTCCTGAAAATGTGAGACAGGCCTCTTCTCTGACAATGTTCAAACCCCCACAGGTCCAGGAGTATGGGGTAAGGTTACTGTCAATGAAGACGTGCATATTTATCGGTATTTGTGCATCAAAATATTTTATGAATTCATGATTAAGATAAAACAAACTCAAAAGACATGGAATTTCGTAATTAAGAATAAAAAACTATAAAACTGTATGTGTGATTTTGTACTTTTTTTTGTGTGCTTGCATTTTCTTCTTTGAGAATACGAATTTCTGCAGTGAGCAAACTGTCAACAATACGTCACTGCTCACAGACATTAGCAATCGAGCCTGCGCAGAGTTGATCACGGCAGAGGGCAACAACAATCACAACGTGGCTCCAAATCCGGTATATAACTATATTTTATAATTTTGGTCGTAAATGAATGTGTAAGAAATATTAATTCCTAAAATGTGTTCATAAAAAGATGTTTCTTGTCCCTCTCTAGAAACGCTTTTTTCGGCAGTGTTTAGTTAACGCTAGCTTCAATGCTAGTTTCGCAGCTTACCATGATCCGTCAAAACCAACACGTTTACATTCTTAGCATTTACATTTGATGAAGCCTTTGCCCCTAATCAATGTAGTTAATGAGTTATTGACAGTAACCTTACCCCAAACAGGAGCCAGACCCCCACAGCCACAGCAGAGGCTCCTCCAGAGGAAACTAAAACAATACCAAAAAAAAGTAAAATGTTGAGCAAAAGTAACAAAACAGACAGTGGTTCGAGGTGTGGCCTGTCCGGAGATAGTCCTGTGTTAGACTCTCTGGCACAGGGCCTTTCTGTGGAAGGTTTGCATGATCCAGTGTCTGTGTGGGTTTCCTCCAGGTGCTCCGGTTTTCCCCTACCACTAATTGCATACAAATAGGACTTTGAATGAAATCGAGTGGGTTTTTATCTTCATCTGAGCACATTCTGACTGCCTTAAAACAAGATTTAGCTGTGGAACAAAGCCCTTTAGTCTTATTTTCAATTACTTCCGCTTGATTTTCTCATTCCGAGGGAGACGTTTCTTGTATCATTTTAAAACAAGATCATTTTGCTTTGTCCCACTGGAAAATCTTGTCAAAATGTGAGACAAAGTAAGTAATTTTACCAATTTATCGCAATTGTTTACTTATTTTTCCTCACTTTTTGCTGTGTAGATTAGGTCATTCTAAAAGCCAACGTTTGTTTTTAAATAGATGCCCTTTAATTTCCTCATGACTCGCCCTTTTGAAACACATTCAAACCCACCATTTGTTTCTCCGTCCTCTCCATCATCCTCGTTCTCCTCTAAAACTGTTATCAGATTCCGTGAGCGGCCGCGACGGGGGACTCTTACAGTAAACCGTTCGATACATCACACGCACACATTTCTTCTTTCATTGTATGTTTTTTTTCCCCACCTTGGGACTATTACACGCCGGATCCGGAGACACGAGCGGAGAAATGGGCGGCCCTTGACAGAGGACCCTTCCAAATCCCACTGTCATCCATCATAAGTGGCGTTCAAGGCACTCGCAAAGGCCTGATAATAGCCTTTTGCATTTCCACCCCGCGCTTTGAGGCTTTGATTTTTAGGGGACGTTGGAAAATCACTCCACGAATTGGAAAAGGAACCCTGGGGCGACTAGGGGGCGGGGGGGGCGGTTTGACAGGTTTTTTTCTTCCTCTTTTGGATAATTGACTGGGTTTGCCTGGAAATTCATCGCGTGCATATGCCAGCTAATTTATCAGAATAGGGGAGACCTTTTAGCCTCGCATGGCCCCAAACCATGGAGCGGTGCTGGGGATGGATGTGAGCGGAGCAGGACAAAGCAGAGAGGGGCTCCAAGTGTGAAGAAATGGGAGAAGGCCTGGACAGTACCCCCCGTTATGAAAAACTAGAGAATACAGAAGTTGATTTTAGCTCCAGCTCAATCTTTGATATAAGGAATTTTCCGTCGCAAAATGTTGATTTTTCAAAGTCGTTACTTGGGGTGGGAATTGGCAAGAACGTGACGATTTGTTAGTTTTGCCATATTTGGGACAACTTTCAATATTTGTGCGATTCTTAAAATATTGAGATACAGAAAGTATCTTATATTGCGAGTCACAACAAGCAGACGTCATAGAGTCACAACAAGCAGACGTCATAGAGTCACAACAAGCAGACGTCATAGAGTCACAACAAGCAGACGTCATAGAGTCACAACAAGCAGATGTCATAGAGTCACGACAAGCAGACGTCATAGAGTCACGACAAGCAGACGTCATAGAGTCACGACAAGCAGACGTCATAGAGTCACAACAAGCAGATATCATAGAGTCACAACAAGCAGACGTCATAGAGTCACAACAAGCAGACGTCATAGAGTCACAACAAGCAGACGTCATAGAGTCACAACAAGCAGACGTCATAGAGTCACAACAAGCAGACGTCATAGAGTCACAACAAGCAGACGTCATAGAGTCACGACAAGCAGACGTCATAGAGTCACGACAAGCAGACGTCATAGAGTCACGACAAGCAGACGTCATAGAGTCACAACAAGCGGACGTCATAGAGTCACAACAAGCAGATATCATAGAGTCACAACAAGCAGACGTCATAGAGACACAACAAGCAGACGTCATAGAGTCACAACAAGCAGACGTCATAGAGTCACGACAAGCAGACGTCATAGAGTCACAACAAGCAGATATCATAGAGTCACAACAAGCAGACGTCATAGAGTCACAACAAGCAGACGTCATAGAGTCACAACAAGCAGACGTCATAGAGTCACAACAAGCAGACGTCATAGAGTCACAACAAGCAGACGTCATAGAGTCACAACAAGCAGACGTCATAGAGTCACAACAATGAGACGTCATAGAGTCACAACAAGCAGACGTCATAGAGTCACAACAAGCAGACGTCATAGAGTCACGACAAGCAGACGTCATAGAGTCACGACAAGCAGACGTCATAGAGTCACGACAAGCAGACGTCATAGAGTCACGACAAGCAGACGTCATACTGTAGAGTCACGACAAGCAGACGTCATAGAGTCACAACAAGCAGACGTCATAGAGTCACAACAAGCAGACGTCATAGAGTCACAACAAGCAGACGTCATAGAGTCACAACAAGCAGACGTCATAGAGTCACAACAAGCAGATGTCATAGAGTCACGACAAGCAGACGTCATAGAGTCACGACAAGCAGACGTCATAGAGTCACGACAAGCAGACGTCATAGAGTCACAACAAGCAGATATCATAGAGTCACAACAAGCAGACGTCATAGAGTCACAACAAGCAGACGTCATAGAGTCACAACAAGCAGACGTCATAGAGTCACAACAAGCAGACGTCATAGAGTCACAACAAGCAGACGTCATAGAGTCACAACAAGCAGACGTCATAGAGTCACGACAAGCAGACGTCATAGAGTCACGACAAGCAGACGTCATAGAGTCACGACAAGCAGACGTCATAGAGTCACAACAAGCGGACGTCATAGAGTCACAACAAGCAGATATCATAGAGTCACAACAAGCAGACGTCATAGAGACACAACAAGCAGACGTCATAGAGTCACAACAAGCAGACGTCATAGAGTCACGACAAGCAGACGTCATAGAGTCACAACAAGCAGATATCATAGAGTCACAACAAGCAGACGTCATAGAGTCACAACAAGCAGACGTCATAGAGTCACAACAAGCAGACGTCATAGAGTCACAACAAGCAGACGTCATAGAGTCACAACAAGCAGACGTCATAGAGTCACAACAAGCAGACGTCATAGAGTCACAACAATGAGACGTCATAGAGTCACAACAAGCAGACGTCATAGAGTCACAACAAGCAGACGTCATAGAGTCACGACAAGCAGACGTCATAGAGTCACGACAAGCAGACGTCATAGAGTCACGACAAGCAGACGTCATAGAGTCACGACAAGCAGACGTCATACTGTAGAGTCACGACAAGCAGACGTCATAGAGTCACAACAAGCAGACGTCATAGAGTCACAACAAGCAGACGTCATAGAGTCACAACAAGCAGACGTCATAGAGTCACAACAAGCAGACGTCATAGAGTCACAACAAGCAGACGTCATAGAGTCACAACAAGCAGACGTCATAGAGTCACAACAAGCAGACGTCATAGAGTCACAACAAGCAGACGTCATAGAGTCACAACAAGCAGACATCATAGTCACAACAAGCAGACGTCATAGAGTCACAACAAGCAGACGTCATAGAGTCACAACAAGCAGACATCATAGAGTCACAACAAGCAGACGTCATAGAGTCACAACAAGCAGACATCATAGAGTCACAACAAGCAGACGTCATAGAGTCACAACAAGCAGACGTCATAGAGTCACAACAAGCAGACGTCATAGAGTCACAACAAGCAGATATCATAGAGCAGGCATGGGCAAACTTTTCCTCTTGAGGGCCACATTCTAATATCAGCCTGCTGTCAGGGCCAGACCTAATTTCCAATGTTTTTGTCATATTAAGTGAAATATTAAACATTGCTTCAGAGCTCGGTGTGCAGCACAGAGGGATTTTATAGTTCTAGTTTCATACTATAGCTGTATAAACTGAGGAGGGCTCAGGGGCCTGATAGAATTGTTCAAAGGGATGTATCTGGTCCACGAGCCAGGGTTTGCCCACCACTGTCATAGAGTCACATAAACCTCACAACTGTGCGAAAACACAGAGTGAAACAGATAATTATCTAATTATAAATCTCAATACTTTTCTCTG